CATCAAACCTCCTGATGTTAAACAGCTTTCCTGTTAGCAAATGTAAATACCAAGGTTGCAGTTCTTAAAGGCCTGTTCAAAAACGATAGAGAAGTACAGGGCAATTAAGGTTGAAGCCGGAATGTCACACTGTTTAACTTCATTTTCAACTGTCACTGGCTCAGAGAGCTTTCCACCAACATTAACCCATATCATCATGAAACAAGCGAAGAATGGAAACAAACTTTTTGGGACATCCCATCTTCTCTAAAATATTCCACAAAGCCTTTCTGTTTACAGTGTCAAATACCTTTGTCAAGTCAACAAATACCAGGTAGAGTTCTATATTCTGCTTGACACACTTTTCTTGCATTTGTCTGGCCGTGAAGATCATATCTACTGTGCCACATCCAGCCCTAAAGCTCAACTGTGACTCTGGAAGAGCTTCATTAGCAATGTGGTGCAAAAAGTGATCCAGCAGAACTCCACAAAGAACCTTGCAAACAACAGCGATATGCTATAATTTCCAGTCATCTGGGACACTCTTACTACTCCAGGCATCCAGCAACAACAAATGCAGCTGATGCCAAAAGGCTTTCTTCTCCATGCTTAAAAATCTCAACATGCAGCCCATCCATTCCAGGTGACTTCCACCATTAAGCTTTCTGACAGCACTTTCAACCTCAAATGTTGGAGGCTCTGCGAGAAATTCTTTAACAGGCTTTTTCAGGTATAGATCTAATAAACTCTTTGTCAACCTCTCTCATATATATATATATATATATATATATATATATATATAAGAGGAGGCATGGTGGAGTAATGGATAGAGACTTGGATTGAGTAATCGGAGAGCAGAGTTTGAATTCCAGTTGAATCCATTACATTCACTTACAGGCTAATACCCTTGGGAAAGGGTGTGAATCCTTTTCTCCCTCCAGCTATGGGTAAATAGCAGGACAGACTGGGTTCTATAGCCTGGGATGGCAACTGGTCTAGGAGAAGGACAACTCCAAATTCAAAACCTGCGAAGGCTCGTTTGGGGACCCTGTGGCACGTAGTGCACCAAGTCTCTGTATTCGGCCCTTCAAAAAGTGTGGATGGTTCTGTACACAAAACCTTCACTATAATCAAATCTCATGTGCTGGTGTCAGGCTGTTAGTTTCCTAGGAACTGATCTGCTTGATACTCTAATGTAAATTCATTCCACAGGAGAGTCGTGTACATATATATATATATATATATATATATATATATATATATATATATATATAGTAGAGCCAAATAGTGCTTTTAAGTACAAATATCTTCAAAGATTCCCAAAACATTCTGGTCAGTTTCTTATACTAATGTAAACAAAGCTCTCTCTCTCTTATATATATATATATATATATATATATATATATATATATATATATTTTTTTGTGCATATTTAGGCATATATTTTCATTTATACACGTTCATTAAATAATATAGACAAGTGTTGTCTATTTATTTTATATAAAAATTGTTCGTAACATCTGATAAGTTTGAAACATTATCATTAAATTTCTACAAATATTCACAATATTGATCATAATTTTTAATATAATCTAAGCTTGGTTTATACCAAAGCCATTATCAAAGATGTAAATCACAAACATATTAAACAATATCATGACCAAACGTGATGATAGCTCTGTCATTTTTCATATCTAGCACTTAAATCGAGGTTTATCGTTGTTTAGTGATTAACTATGTAAAAATGACAGACTATCATCACTGTCGTCCCACATATTGTTTAATATGTTTGTGATTTACATCTTTGATAATGGCATCTCTAAAAATAGATTATATTAAAAAAATTTGGATCTATTGTGAATTTCTTTCTTCGCCAATGATAATGTTATCAAACTTATCAGATGTTATTTAAAAAAAAACATAAAATAAATAGACAACACTTGTCTATATTATTTAATGAAACGTGTGTGTAACATATATATATATATATATATATATATATATATATATATATTTATTCCCCTTACCACCAATAAACTTTGTCAATTTTTTTTTTTTTTATTTTTTTTATTATATAATATACTCTATTTACCTTGATTTAGCTCTGTTGAGGGAGGTACAAAACCAGTTAGCTAGCCAGTTTTCATTTTTATTATCATGAGGGGTAATAATAAAACTAATTTTTGTCTATTCATGGCAGTGATAAAATTTTGTACCACCAAACCTATTATATATATATATATATATATATATATATATATATATATATATATATATATGGGTAAATGAATCGATAAAAAAAAATAATAATTCCATTAATAACTTCTCATAATATTGAATCAATTATAAAGTGGATTCATTTTACTTTTTAATATTTTGGAACCAATTTATCACATTTGTATTCCTCTACTGATTTATCCCTGATGCATTACATGTATAGTAACATACACTTTCAAGAATAGTTTTACTGATTTTCCCTATTTTTAGCTGGGTTCAGTCTTCTGAACAAGAAAAGTCTTTTATTTTTTAAAATTATCCTGATAATTTTATACCATTAGAAATACTTCTTGCTTTAATAAATTACACATCAGTCAAACCAAAGTTATCAGCTATTTAAAAAAAAAAATTTTTTTTTTTTTTGACTTTGTATATTGCTGTTAATGAGTTGTGCCCTTCTGATGTTTTATGACCTTGTTATATAGCACGTTCTTACATTCATGGTATTCTGCCTTGCAGTCATATCCTACCAAACACAGAAAAGTATATGAAAGTAAATCCGGACAGAAAACCCAGAGAAGAGCCCCTGACTACTTTCCAAGCCAGCCCCAGCCTGTATTCCTTTGGATATTGTCAGTAAGACCAAGAAGTGTGTGTGTGTGTGGGGGGGGGGGGGTCATGCAGTCTGGGCAGCGTATGGGCTCTGTATACCATCACCCAGGCCTGAACCCTGGAGAGATCACTACAGTCTCACCACCAAAGGAGTGAATTTTGACCAAACAGAAGTAATACCTTTACCTTGCTGAATAAATGGATGTCTAGTATTCATAGTTCAATAACTGCCAGGTGTTTTACCTATTATATCTTTATAAGTCTTAAAAGTTGTTTTTTTTTTTAGGTAGATTTAGTGTTTACATTTGGTTTAGTTCACATTCTTAAAAATCTTGAAGTGTCACCTGATAAATTAGATAACTTGCATTACAAGTGAAAACTGTACTTACTGCTGATTGGTTTGAGGAGAACTTCAGAGCAAACTTCTTCATCTTTTTTACATATACCTGGAAAAAGATATTTTTTTAATGTATAAAGAGATTTTATATTAAAAACAATAGCCTGTCCAGAAAAAAAAGAAACCAAATGGGAAGGAGGAAAAAATAAATAATAAAAAGGTTAATGAGCAAGTGTAAATTGGAGGGCAAATAATCATGACATTCTACATGGGCACATGAATACACACATACACTAATACTCAACTAATGAGTGTCTGGAAGCAGAACATAACTAATTGTGTGTGTGCAAAAAAAAAAAAAAAAAAAAAAAAATGGATGGCTACTCGTTTTCCAAGCACACCTGTCCGTTAGGGAGGTTAGCCAATCCCTGCTGCAGGGACATTTGTGTTTGTTCAACATCCACAAAGCCCACCTGTGATTTATACTGCAACTATACTGAGCAGGCCTTAGTTACAATTTCGGAAGAAAGCATATAATATAATCTGTCATAATCAACTATTTAAACAATGCCAGTACACTCAAACCTTTGGTTACGATGACTTGTGACTTCACACTAACACAAGCATTGATGGCTCCCAAATAGATCTAACTACCCAATTTTACTCACAAGGCTTGGGTTAACCTGTGGTATGGTTTTCAAGCACTTTCCAAAGGTGTTGCATGCTGGGATAGCCTCTCCAGGCTGATAACATCAAAAAGTTGCCTTCCTGATAAATCAACTATGATGAAATTTAGACCCAGGTCTCATGGTTGGAAAGCGAATATTCTAACTACTCAGCCATGTAGCCATATACATATCTGAGAGAAACTTTTTTAGCCTTCCATCACCATGGCTGACGCTGACTGACAGGATAGCAACTCATTATACCTTTTCAGGTTAATGTTTTCCACTAATATAAGGTGGAAAGATTATCTTGACTCAATTGCTAGGGTTGCTGCTAGGAAAGTTGGTTCACTGTGTCATGCTAGACAATTTCTCTTGCCAAAATCTATATTACAAATTTATAAATCTACCATCTGTCCATGCATTGAATATTGCTGTCATATCTAGCCTGCTGCTTCTGCTATATATTTAGAGATTCTTAATCAAATACAAAGAATATGCAATGTTATTGGTCCTGGTCTGGCATCTCGGCTTCAGTCACTTTATTACTACTGGAAGAGTTTCCTGTCCTTTCTCTGTAAATATTTTTATGCTAATCGTTTTGATGAAACTTTCTCTATGGTATGTAGACTTTATGAATTTTTTACAGGTGAAATGCTGAGATATAACCATAAATTTTATGCTGTTTCTTCTTTTGCACTTCTCTCATCAAGCTTTTTGCTTTTTAGTTGACTTTGATCTTCAAAAATTTAAATGCAATGTTATTTGTTTTTTGTTTTTTTCTGTCTTCTTAATTCCTGTTCTTTTATTGTTCTCTCTCCTTAATGTTTTCTTTTTCTATATTCTTTCACACCTTGCGTCTTAATGACTTTATTGCCTTGCTTGGGGTGAAATGATTAAAAAAAAAAAAAAAAAAAAAAAAAAGGAGCATTCATAAAGTATCTGACCTTTGGCCATAAAAATATCCATTTTGTATATTTCACAAATTTTATTTAATCCTTTTCAAAATACTTCCCTTGGGAGTTCACACACATCCCCCAATGGTTCTGCCACTGCTGGTTACGCCTCTGAAAGGCCTTCTATGAAATGCTATCAAGCTCTACCAAGGCTTTTGTCATAAATTCGTTTCATGACTCAAATGGATTCCTTTTCAGATTGGAGAATGAAACGAAAAAAAAAAAAAAAAAAAAATATCACACAGTACCAAGTTGGGGGAGTAGGGAATCCTGTTGAACAAGTGGGTGTGGGTGGGTATGTGTGTGGTTCTTGACCAGGAACATTTGGATTGTGTTGGTGGAATGAGCAGGTGAATTTCACCAACACAAATCCTGCTAAAAATGGAATGCACTGGGCCTGTGTGTGCTTTGGCTTGTGAATGGCCTACCTAAGTGTGTCTCACCCTCCACTGGGGTGCAGCCATGTTTGAAGCACCCCATGATCTGAGTTTTGCTCATGACATCATCAACAAAGCCCTAGTGAATCTTCTGGATTCTTTGAACTTGACTGTCACTAAGCTTTTGGCAAAATTTGATGCAACATCTCAATATCTCTGCTCAATGCATTAGCTTATTTTGCATGGAAATGAAAATCTGACTCGTGGGTACTACATGTCTGTGCTCTTGGTGTAACAGTTGAGAACTGATGCAGCAAGAATTTTCACGCATGCATAGGAAGGGTGACGTGACTTCCCATTCAAAAGATTTTGCCCACTGAGCATTTGTTTTGCTAGGAAATAACTAAGATACTTTTTTTAATTTTTTAATGCACCTTGTATGTAACTCAGAAACAAGTGTTAAATAATAAAACATGAAATTTCTTCATGTTAAATTTTGCAATTTCATAAATGTCAGATTGTGATTTTATTTACATGTGTAGTTCAGTTACTTAATAGTTCCTCTACTTAATATCAAGTCACTTCTTATTCAGAGAATTTAGATCATGATTATTTACAAATGTTATCACTAAGCTTTATTATTATTAAAATATCATTAACAGCATGCCACTAGGGAATGCAGAGAGGTTAAGAATTCTTTCACCCCAACTTATTATTTTCTTAAAAATGAGGGGAAACAACCCTGTAATTAGCAGTTAACAGACTTTCCTTGAACACTTTACAGGGAGTCAGTTAATTACTTAATTAAATATTACTTAATATTAAGGCTTAATTGGAATGGAATTGTTTTATTCTTCAAGTTTAAGCATTTTTATCAGTATTGCACTAACAAATGTAGTACTAAGATGTGCTCTTTTTGCTGTGTTATAAGAAACAAACGAGCATCTTTTTTGTTACATAATGCAAGTAATAAAAGAAATACTTCAATGTAAAATGATAAAGTATTTAATTGCCAAATACAATTAAAATATGGTAAAGGAGTAAAGAGTCAATGGAAAGATTATTGATTATTTATCAGTTAATACACAACTACATAGAGCTAAGGAAAGTACTAATTTGTCTTGAACATGGAACACTCGACTTTAACGTTCGGGTTAACACAATAGTCAACATAATTGTAACCACACAGTCAGTGGCATAATATCTCTGTTTATAGTAAATGGTGGTCTACATTTCCATTGTCTAGAGATTCACATTCAAACTCTGGTGTCAGTAGCGACACCTTTCATTCATATATACCAATCTTTTCTTTCCATTCAATAATTTCTTTGGTCTGCCTTTATTTCTGTTTCATTTTTAATATCTGGTTCACCTTCAGGCCATTTTAACCATGTTCTATTGTGCTGGTATTTTCCTCACCAATTCATGCAGTTCTACTGCAAACTCCAACTAATTTCAAGTAGAATAATGCCAATAAAATTTCAGATATTTTCAAGTGAATCTATCACGTGTAGACATGGAAAATTAGTCTTAATAACTTTATCCTGATTTAGCCCCACTTTGTATAATTTTTTTTTCACCTCCAAGCAAGGTGATGCAACTAGGACACAGAGTGTTACAGGATGGATGGATGGATGTTGGATTTAACGGCATGTCAACTCCTATTGAGTGTTACAGGGAGTGAAAAGAGAAAGAGAAAACTTTAGTGAGAAGAAATGAGGAACGGACAATAAAGGAACAGAGTTCAGGAAGACAGAAGATGGTGATTTGATGTTGCATTTAAATTTTTTGAAGACCCTAATTGTCGAGGAAGTAAGATATCGGAAGGGAGTTCCACAGCTTAGAAGTGCAAGAAAAGAAACTGTTAGAATAAAAGAGTTGATTGTGTCTAGCGCGTTCAACAGTAAAACAGTGAGACCTAGTTGCCAATCCAGTGGTAGGCTTAAATTCATACAGTCAAGGTACTAAGGAAAAAAAAATCATCAGAACAGTTGCCATGGAAATATTTGTAGAAAAGACAGAGAAAATCATACCACATAAGTGAGAAAGTGACTAAAGTTGAGATGCCAGGTCAGGATCAATTATATTACACACTATATATATATATATATATATATATATATATATATATATATATATATATATATATATATATATTAAATTAATTGATTTAAAATACGTTTTTTTCACTACAGTTCTAACCATTTCAAAAATGGAAGCTAAAACTTCAAATTTAATTTTGTAATTAAATTAAAGACATTAGTTCCATTTCATCCTCAAGCAAATGAGGATGAATTGGAACTAATGTCTAATTTAATTACAAAATTAAATTTGAAGCTTTTAGCTTCCATTTTTGAAACATGGTTAGAACTGTGTAGCAGAAAAACCATATTTTAAATTAATTTATATTAATGCTCTGTAAATTTACATTGAGCACTATTTTGTAAAAATAAAATATCTATAAGAACACCAGATTATATATCTTACTGTTCTTTCTTTTTATATATATATATATATATATATATATATATATATATATATATATATATATATTCTAACCCAATACAAGGTTCAAGATCCACTCAAAATAGAGGTTTAGTGGATGAGCCATGATATGACTAATAGAAAGATGGTAAGATTATAAGGATAGATAATGATTCACTCTTGATTTGATGAGGTTAAGATTGTAGTGCTCAAGGAAACATCTATGCAGGAGTATGTTTCATGAAGTGGCAGTTAAGCGGAACTTACATTTGGAATAGAGAGGAAATGTGGGTGATTCAACTCCATGGATGTAGCATGATGAGTCCTAGCTATGAAGATCTGAACTATATAAATAGCAAGCGAAGGGGAAGCTACATACCATCTCCTTTGAGGTTCTGCTGCTGTCACTCCTGGATGTTCAGTGGTCATTATAGAGATCTTACAAGCCATTAAAACTAATCTTTATAATCCAAGTACTCAAAAACATGACCTCGTGTTAAAGTAAACATCAATCAGCAAATATCTAAGATTATAGCACAAGTTTTTTCTTGTTTTGTTTTAAAATTAGTCAAAAACATCACTGACCTGATTATAAAATTGAATCAAATCCCCTCGTTCTTCTCCCATTTCAAATGTTGGTCCCATGCCAATCAGCTTGGTTGGGGTGGGAGGTTGGCTATTTGGGTGAGGCACTGGTAGTGTGCTGGTGGAGCGGATATTTAGAGTCTCTGTTCTTCCTATAAAAGAAACAAGTCAGGAACGGAAATCAGAAAACAAAAGAAACAAAACAAGAAAAATAAAATATAAAAGACAAGTTCCGCCTAAACCTGAGGCTGGCTAAATCCTACTTGAATTCTAAAACCAGATTTTTTTTTCCTTTCATATTATGCATAGAATATCTCTGAGGTACATTAAGAAAAAAAAACAAAAACAATCCATTTCATTTACTGGCTTTAATTAAATAATTCTCTTAAACTGATTGACTTGTCAATTATTCATTATCATAAATAAGCAACAATCTTAATTAATTTTAACAAGAGTAATTTTTAAAGATACATAATAAAAGAACCATTCAGATATAACAGTTATCTCCCTTGAATTTTCTAGCTTTCTGATTTTTGGCAAAATGACCCATTCAATTGAAGAATTGATTTAATGGTTTCTGTGAAGCCAGTTACTTTTAGACAAATGGCATTCTTTGTTATGAACCAGACTCCAAGATAATAGCTATGTTACACCCTGACCAACACATTCTAGTTTTTCAAGGCTAAGTATAGGCTCTATCATTACATGACAAGGTTTACCATGCAGTGAGTGTGAGGTCTGACTACCATCCTATAGTGAAAGTTTATCTTACTAGTCTGAGAACAGCAAGGTATAGAAACCACATGGCAGTTTTTGTATCTCCATCAAAACAAATATTTACACTGGTCAGCTGGCAGCAGGGAACAAACATTGGTTTACAAAAGAACGGCTGATTCTCCCCATCACACTGTTTTTGCAGGTGACTTCACCTGAGCATATTTAATGGATATAAATATGTGTTGCACTTATGCCAGTTAATGTACACAACAAAAACACACACACATACACAATTTGACCACGTTTGAAATAAGACATTGTAATAATAAATTTCTCAATAACTCAGTGTGAACAACCCCTATACTGGGTTGAAGAATAAAATCTATTTTAATAAGTATTTGACATTTTCATCTATCAGCATCGGCCTTGTTAACTATTGCCTATCAGCATACTTTTGGCCTTGTGCCACATCTAAATTACGCTCGGAAAATCACTATTGCCTATCAGCATCAGCCTATTCATATCTTTTGGTACATAGAACCTGACAGCACAGACATGGCCATAAAGTAAATGCCCAGTTTATTACTTATGATGATGATGAAGTGAATTAAGGTTGAAAAATTACCATGAAAAATGAATTCAGGCAAAAATAATAACAATAAAAAAAAAATAAAAAAAGGGGGGGGGGAGAGAGAGGGGGATGGGATGGGGGGGAGGAGAGAGGGGGGAGAGAGAGGGGAGGGAATGAGAGGGAAAATTTCAAGACGAATTTCTAAGCAAGAAAACTTATTTTTTTAAATCCTACAATAAGAAAATAACTATAAAATTTTATTGAAATTTTCATATCTATAAATAAATAAAATTATTTTTGATGTTTTGATATTTTTTAAATTTTGAAAAAATATTTAGAAGTGTCATTGAATAAAAATATAAATGTGCACACACAAATCTACATACATGAAATTTAAGAGAAATTAAAATGGACATCTGCATTGAGAGGACTAATTTCCCTATTTGGCAACAACTCTTAAGTAACAGGAAAAGATTACAAGCTGAAATGTGTAGCTGAAAAGTCATTTTTATGATGCATTTTGTCTATAAACTAAATATATTTTTCAATAAATATAGTATTTTAAATAGATAAACACTCTAAATTTGAAATTTTATCATATTGTGACTGATAACAAATAAGTTTTAATGAAATTTCTGGATTTGTTGGTTATAGAAACAACTCTTACGCTTGTCTTTTTCTTTGGGATCCTCTTTCTCAACTGTGACTGGAGAGGAGGATGCACTGGTTCCATTCTTGCTGCTGTCACTGCTACCTGAAGTTCGACGTCTACGACAAGAGAGTAGCACATTTCTGTAAACCTTTATGGAAAAAAATGATAAAAGTGTGAAATAAAATTAAAATTTCTCTCTAAAATGACAAAAGACAAAAAAAAAATAGGAAACCATGAAAAAGTTGTGAAAGAAAATTATATATATATATATATATATATATATATATATATATATGTGTGTGTGTATGAATGAGATCAACAACAGGATGTCAGTAAATATGATTTTCACTCACTGCCTAACCCAAAGTTTGAACACCCAACCACCTGGTCAGACAGTGAAATACATCTACTCTGGTTCAGTAGAAAAAAAAAAGCAAGAGAAAATATGATCATATAATTCTGCCTTTTCTTCCATTAGAAAGTTAACCCATCCATTACACCCTGCTATTACCCCAGATAAATAATGGACCATTCTCTTAACAGTAAGGACAGACAGAAAAAAATATTTGGTTTTTGTATTGTCTTATTTCTTTAAATAATTACCTGAATTAATACAATTGTTAGTGCAATATTTGATTAAAGTTGTTAAGTTCAAATATTTAACAATGTAATAGAGAACTCTCCACAAGTATTTTGTTGTTGTGGAACTTGCAAGGGAGCTTATTCAATCATTAACTTAATTATAGTTAGCTCCAATCCAATTGGAAATGACTTGCAAAACACTTTCCCCTCCCCAAATTATAGGGAGAAGTACACAAATTCATGCTGGGATTTCTTCCAAGCCAATAAATCAGGCCAGGTCTCATTTTCATATAACTCCGTCCGTCTTGCATTGAAGTCAGAATACAGCATTCGTTTATCCAAATTTGCTTGTGTGTCAATCCTAATTCTTAATTTTTTTAAAAAGTTTTTTTCCATATTACTGTCGCTTTGACTTATTACTGTTAATTTGCCTTGCATATATTGTTTGCTTGCTTTATATTATATCTTTTTTTGCTCTACCGGTTTTTCTTTTTATTGAAAAGTATGAACTTTGTCAATTCTGTTTGTCAGAATTATGGCTACTCACCCTACAATTAAGATTTATCAGAAAATTCAAATAGGAAAATCATGAAATTCTAACAAGTACAGCTAGTAAATTTTAAATTAATAATGATTAGTTACACAAGATCCTCTTGCATTGACAGCAGAATAAAATTTGGTCAAAAATGTCATTTACTAAATACCCTTCATTCTATTCCCAAAGTGAAAAGTCTCAACAAGAACTCTACAAATATAACATTGCCAAGAAACACACACACACACACACACAGAAAATGGTTAGGCCAGATAATTCACATAAATTACATTTTACTTACGTGAGACTGAGCTTGTGGTTGTAATCGATAACACCTCATTATATTTTGGAATGATTGGGGTGGATCAGCTGATACCTGGATTAAAGAAAAAGTTTAAAGTTTCATTAAATAATAAAATAATTTTGCATTTTGTTTTTGAAATTGTCAATATGGTACATTTCGAACTATTGTCCTCATCTTGATTATCATAGATATTATCATAAACAATGTTTCAGCCAAGTACCCTCTGGGCATCTTCAGGTACCCATTATTTTAAAGAGAAGAGTAATTGCCAATATGCTTTATTTCGTCATATTGTTTTCATCTTGGTTCCTATAGATGTTACTATAGATGCAACATTTTGGCTAAGTATCCTCTGGCCACCAAATGCAAAATTTGTTTCCAAACAACTGGATATAAAAAACTCAATAAAAAAAAATTTAACTTTTAAAATTTTTACTTCCTGTTCCTAATTATTTAGCTAGAAAATGAATTAACATTTTAAGAGTTCTTGGACCAGTCCACTTTCTAAATTCTGATTAAACACCGGAATGTTTTTTTTTTTTTTTAAATTCTTTTCTTGGTTAGGCTGAGAACTTTTCAGTATCTCCTTGTATTTAAAAGAAGTCTACCTTGTTACTTGAAAAAAACAAAAAGAAATTTTTTCTTAACTGAAATAAAAGAAAGAAAAAAAAAAAAAAAAAAAAAAAAAAAAAAAAAAAAAGAAAAAAAAAAAGAAAAAAGAAAAGAAAAAAAAAGGGAAAAAAAAAAGAAGAAAAAAAAAAAAAGAAAAAAAAAAAAAAAAAAAAAAAAAAAAAAAAAAAAGAAAAGAAAAAAAAGAAAAAGAAAAAAAAAAAAGAGAAAAAGAAAAAGAAAAAAGAAAAAAAAAAAAAAGAAGAGAAAAGAGAAAAAAAGAGAAAAAAAAAAAAGAAAAAAAAAAGAGAAAAAGAGAAGAAAAAAAGAAAAGAGAGAAAAAGAGAAAAAAAAAAGAGAGAAAAAAAGAAAGAAAAAAAAAAGAGAGAAAAAAAAAGAAAAAAAGAAAAAAAAAAGAAAAAAAAAAAAAAAAAAAGAAGAAAAAAGAGAAAAAAAAAAAAAAGAGAAGAAAAAAAGAAAGAAAAAAAAAAAAAGAAAAGAGAAAAAAAAAAAAAGAAAGAGAAAAAAAGAAAAGAGAAAAAAAAGAGAAAAAAAAAAAAAAGAAAAAAAAAAAAGAGAAGAGAAAAAAGAGAAGAAAAAAAAAAAAAAAAAAGAAAAGAAAAAAAAAAAGAGAAAAAAAAAAGAAAGAAAAAGAGAAAAAAAGAGAAAAAGAAAAGAAAAAAAAAAAGAGAAAAGAGAAAAAAAAAAAAAAAGGAAAAAAAAAGAAAAAAAAAAAAAAGAAGAAAAAAAAGAAAAGAGAAAAGAAAGAAAAAAAAAAGAGAAAAAAAAAAGAAAAAGAGAGAAAAGAAAAGAGAAAAGAGAAGAAAAAGAAAAGAGAAAAGAAAAGAAAAGAGAAGAGAAAAGAGAGAAAAAGAGAGAAAAGAGAGAGAGAAAAAAAAGAGAGAGAAAAAGAAAAAAGAGAGAAAAAAGAGAGAAAAGAGAGAAAAAAGAGGAAAAGAAAAAAGAAGAAAGAAGAAAAAAGAGAAAGAAAGAGAGAGAAAAAAAAGAGAAAAGAGAGAGAAAGAAAGAAAAAAGAGAGAAAAAAAGAGAAAAAGAGAGAGAGAAAAAAAAGAGAGAAAAAAAAGAGAGAAAAAAAAAAAAAAAAAAGAAAGAAAAAAGAAAAAGAGAAAAAAGAGAAAAAAAGAGAGAGAAAAAAAAGAGAAAAAAAAAAAGAGAGAAAAAGAGAAGAAAAAAGAAAAAAAAAGAGAGAAAAGAGAAAAAGAGAGAGAAAAAAGAGAAAAAGAGAGAGAGAAAAAAGAGAGAAAAAAAAAGAAAAAGAAAGGAGAAGAAAAAAAAAAAAAAGAAAAAAAAAAAAAATAGAAAAAGGAGAGAAAAAAAAAAGAAAAGAAGAAAGAGAAAAAAAGAGAAAAAGAGAAAAGAGAAAAAAAGAAAAGAGAGAAAAAAAAAAGAGAAGAAGAGAAAAAAGAGAAATTCTCAGAGAAAAAGAAGAGAAAATAAAAAAAAGATAAAAAAAAAAAAGAGAATGATGTACACAGATAGCTATGACATACATTGAGCACATGATAATCTGGTCCAGATGCCTGTCCATCATAAGATGAATCTGGTGGACAAGCGTGTGCTCGAAACAAGTCCACATTTTCCTGCGAAGTTCATCATCATTCAGTCCCAGCTTGTCACATAAATCCCGCAACCTGACACTGGCAAGATGGTAAACCTAAAAACAAAGAAAAATATATATATATATATATTTTTTTATCCAATACGAGGTCTAAGTGCCACTCAAGGTAGAAGGTTACTACTGATTGGGGAGGTTGTAAGTGTGTACGGAGTGGGGGGAGGTTGTAAGTGTGTACGGGTGGGGGAGCAAGGTTTGCATCTTATATAGGATAGATAACTTCTATTTGAAGAGATTAAGATTGTAATGCTGAGGGAAGCATCAGTTCTGGGAAAGAAACTCTCCAGAGTAGAACTTACTCCTCACCAATGGAACATGAAGGGAACAAAGATGAGTTGAGTCAGTGTACGTGGCATGAAGGTCCTATTTGTAAACGTCTGAACTGGTGGAACCAAGGCATAAAGCTTGCCTGATCATCTGCCATGAAAATAGTGATAGAGTAGCAAGAGGCTAGCAAAGTTTCATCTGTAAGGGAAAAGAGCTGAAGGGTGGAAAACAATTCATCACTCACAAGGCCATGCAAATGCTTTTGAATTTGGCCAAGGCTGAAAAGTGAGGATTCGGCAACTCCTGTCCAGATGTGACAGCAATATTCCACTTTTGGTCTGCTCTGGTTCTTGTAGAGATAGAACATGACAGGAGTAGAGTACTTTATGGAACAGTACAGGTAGCCAACTGTTTTTCCAGCCTCTTTAGCGATGGATTGTATATACAATTTCTCACAACTGATCATATTGATTGGAGAAGACTCAGGGTTTGCTCTGTGATAATGAAACAAGATTGGTTTTGGAGGTATTGAATGTTACAAGCCAGTTCCTCCCCTGTTGTACTGTGTGAGCAAGGTCAGAGGAGAGATCAAAAAAGAAACAATTAAAAAATATAAGGAATACTTATTAAAGTCACTAGAAACTTATAAATATTTTGTCATTTGACAGAAAACTTAATACAGAAGGACACACACACATCTGTAGAACCTCATTCTTGTTGCTTCAAGTCTCTTCATCTTTGAGGAGATGGCAATATTTGTCCATATTATTTTACCAGACATGTTTGATGTACTTATTACCGCCTGTGTGTGTATATATATATATATAAGTCATAAGAAAATGAGTAAATATACACCTATATACATATATTTATTGTCATATAAGAAGAAAATGAATAACTACCAACAGTGAGGTTCGATCGTGACACTCTGGACTTGTGAATGTTTTCTGCCAGGTGTATAGATAGTGGTGTCAGACTACTGACTGCAGTGACTATTGAGTGGAACTATCCAGTTGAATTAGTGTGAATTATTGTGCGTCAATGATTTGGGTCTTGATTTAGGATTTACTGGACGTTAAGCTGAGCTGCACTAGTAACAAGGTATTCACTGAAATGGTTAATTATTTCTTTGTTCTTGTTAAGTATTTATTTGCAGTTGTAATTAAATACAGTTTTATCTTAACATTGAAGTCTTGAGTTACACTTAATTATTAACAGCCACTGCATGTCACGAAATATATTTATGACACTTCAATATAAAAAAAACAAAAAAACAAAACAATATTTTGTTGCTTTTCCACGACTTAATATATAAAACATGTCCCCCAGTACTCACCTTCCTGAAAAAAAGGGCTAGAGAACCTGTACGCTTGGGCTTGGCGGGTTTTTGTGGTGTAGGGAGTTTATTGATGGGCTGAGACTGAGCCAAAGTCAACATAGTACTGTTTGGTACTGTAATATTGGCGGTCTGAGGGCTGCTAACAATCTGAGCCTGCACAGATATCAAAACCTGAAAAAAAAAAAAAAAAAAAAAAAAATAATCAAAGGAAGTTTATCTTTAAATATTTATTTATATTTAAATTCTGTATGCTTCTCTAAAACACTGAAAATTACAAAACCTCTTTTTCCTTTTTTTTTTTTTAAAAAACAAAAATTAACAGCCAATAAGGCAATTGTTCAAAACCTGTTTTTTTTTTTTTGTTTTTTTTATAAGAAAATTCCCAATATTTAATCCTATGTACAAAGAGAACCAGACAGAAATTATTTGAGAATCTTCATCTGCCAGAATAATAATTGTAACACCCTCAAAGCCCAGGATAGCAGAGAATATTTTACATAATCATTTATTTATTGTTTGCAAATGAACCTTTGGTCGAAATATGAACAGTATTCCTACAAGCACAGTTTGAAGACAATAACCGGGGAATAATTGTATTAAAATCAGCAGGAGTGTGAATCTGATGATAGTTTTGTCTATTGTTTCAGTTCACACACCTCAGTTTTTTTTGTTTTTTTTTTTACAGGAGTTTATCCCTTTTTTTTTTTGACAGGAGTTTATTCCATTTTTTTCCTGCATAGGATTGGGTGGCTTTCCAGTTACTCCTAATTCTATTTCACTCCCAATAGCCACTTGCGTCTTAATGGCATTATTGCTTTGCTTGGGGGTGAATTATTTTAAAAGGGAAAAGAAAAGAGAAAAAAAAAAAACAAAAAAAAAAAAACACCATGCTATAGTGCAGTAAACAGCATGCTCATCATTTGGAGTTCAACATATTTTCTGTGATCTTTATTTGTCTTGGTCAATGATTAAGTTTCTTATATTTTGTTATTGAAACAAACAAAAAAAAATCCCTAATAGCCCTATCCTTTTCCCCCGCCCTAGCACCCCATCTGCATGAATTTAAGTGTGCCATTAGATTTGTATCTAGGTCTCACCCTTTTACTACTTCAACAGTTTGAAGTTTGCACTTCCTGCCCGTGCAACTCCTTTCTATTTACTTGCTTCCCTGATAAATACAATCTTCAAAAATTTAAACACAACATGAATCACCATCTTCCGTTTTCTTGAATCCCATCATATTTTATCCTTTCCTCAATGCCCCCTATAAATCACTCTTTTCTCTCACTTTCACTCCTCTGTAACCCTCTGCATTTTATGCTGCAGTAATTATCCGTAACGCAAGTGATGTTTTGTTTTCTTTTTATAGCTTTCTTGACTGTCATTATTAGGTTTGTTGTTGTTTAAATTTGGAGACAAATTTTGTAATGATCAAATCTGTATCAATACATATTCTATTTCCTCTGTAGAGTTAAAGAAGTAGTTACTATTAAAATAATTTGCAACGGTTTTCAACACATGTTTATATGAATAGATAGTAAATATTGTTGTAATATCCAAAAATTAGAATGCTTACACCAGCATAAGCTTTGTTCAATCTTGAACATCAAATGTAATTACTATGTGATTAATATGAAAGTGGTGAAAAGAGCCAATAGTCAAATCATTGAATCACTGATCATTAAATACCGTCTTTGATGGTCAGAACATGTAGCAAGAACGGAAGAGTCAAGGTTTCCACATCAAGTCTTAGTCAGTTAGCAAAACCCTTCAGGGAAATGACCACAGGATTGCTCTCTTTAAAGATTCAAGGGACAACTCAAAACAAGACTGAAAACCATTGAATTTGAGCCTAAATCACTTGAAACACCAAGTGATGATGTTCCATCACCATTGGAACCAAAAATTTCAAAACCACTAGAAGAGAAAAGGACAAATGACAAGAGAGAATGGATTGACAAAAATCAATGTCATCCTCCAACATTACTTTGCAGTCAATACCATCGGTTCTTCCATGCAGGAATTGGTCTTAGTCATTAATGCCATCATAAAGGAAATGATCAGAAAAGAAGAAATTAAATTCTTGGATACGAGGCAACAACAATGAAATAAAGACGGGTCAAAGAAAGTACTCACCGGCCGGCCATCATCAGTCTTTGCAGGCTGGAAGGTGATAATGTGCGTACCAGATGCAGGAGCCGTATTTTCATTGTTGCCAGCCACAAGGGTACGTGCAGCAATTGCTGGCATATCTGCAGCTCCACCAGCAGTTGCAGTTGCCATCTGGGCTTCTCCACCACTGGTGCCAGCAGCAGCTGATTCTGTTGATACTGTTGCAACCGAAGTAGGAGTAGGGGGGCCAGAGCAGAAGAGTTTCCTTCTAGCATTGCCAGGGTTTGGGGAGCAAAACCTGCCAGCAATGGATGTGCTGGGAGACTGTATGGAATCTGAAAGAAAAGAATGATAGTTGAGAGGGAGGTATGAAACAAGAAATAGCTTAAAAACTAATGGGGGGGGCGGGGAGTGACATTCTTCTGGTTCCAGTTAACTGAAACAGAGTCATTTTCATTGCAAATCATGAAAGTGTGCACAAGCAACAAAGAATAAATAATTCAATATCAACGGATATTGGCACTAAACTTCAAACAGGAAAGCGTTAAGCAGAATTATATACGAAATTATCATTGCATATAAAAGGGCACTATATATAAATGTCATCAATATAAATCACATGACCAAGTGTGTTTGTAGGGTTGCAGAGCAGCTAAGCATTTTAACCTGTTCTCTCCACATATCTGGGTTGAAAGCTGGAAATGTAGTCATTCATGCATGCATAGTGTCATGGGCAAGTCGACCTGGCTGAGCCTATCCCTCTCCAAGTCAAACCAGAGCCAATGTCCTCCAAAATGAAAGCTCAGTTTGATCATGGACACATTACTGTTGGTTCCATGTGGTGGTGGTTTTGGGGGACTCTCCACTCTGGCTGTTGACTTCAGTTTAGGAAGCTTTCTGCCCAGCAACGCCATGCCATCACTTATTTATGTGCTGTGTCCACTCTGGAACTAAAGTGATCATGGCTCTCCACAATTTCCTGTCCCTTGTAGCTCTTAATAAACTTTGCCCTTTTGTTATTTCTCCTAAGCCCTATTTCACCATCTATTTACTCAAGCTCATTAAGCATGTTGTGCATTGTTTTCCACAGTCTTGTGGGTATCAGATTTTCCAAGCCCTTCTTCCACATTATGTGCCCCAGAAAGCTCAACTCTCTCTTCCTTATTTAAACATTAGTTTCCTTTTTGTTTCCATTTTCTCCCAAACTTTGTCATGGCTCACATGTTTGATCCATGGTATCCTCAGCATCCAGTCTGTAGAACCACATTTCTATTGCTTCAAGTCTCCTCTTCATCTTTAAGGAGATTTTCCAGCACTCACTGCCACACAGAAGAACAGATATCATGTAACAGTTTAATAAACTTTCTATTTCTTAGTACTTAGCTTTTGGAATGCTTCCTTGGCTATCCCAATATGTCATCAGATTTCAGTGTCACACTTTGCATTCTCTGTTAAAACCCTTCCAAGATATTTAAATTTCTGCACTCATTTGATTTTATTATCTTTAATTTGCAATTCACACTTTGAGCTCATCTTTTTGCTAACAATCATGCATTGTATTATTGAAGTTGATGTCACAACACTGGCTAAATTCTTTTCAATTATAGATGTTATTGAGTTGATAGGCAGTATTATGTGTCTAGTTTTATCAAGGTTGTATTTTGTTTGTTTTAATAAATTATTGAGCTTTCTTCTTTACATTAGATATAAGATAATTGGGATAATGGAAGAGCTTAAAATTCTTTTCAATGTATTTTTCTTTATCCTGTAAATATTGAGGGTTAAAAATTCTATGTGTTCTTAAGTAGAAACCTATAATCATTCAGGAATTCATTTTGTTGTTATGGTGTGAACAGAGGTTTGAGAATTTTTATTGTTGGATTTTCAGCAGATCATTATCAGTATGATTTAACAGCACCACAAGAAGCAATAATGTTTTGTTCATTTTAGTTTCATAAGTAAATTCAATTGTATGTTCAATACAGTTTAGTCCATTTATAAGATCAAGTGATATTGTTTTGCAATGATATATTAATAGAGCAACATCAATATATTGAAAATATATTGTTTAGGTAATTTTTTTTTTTTTTTAGGAAAGGCCTGTTTCTAAAAATTATGAGAAAAGGCAAGCAATACATTGCTAAGTGGTGATCCTATCAGTATGCCAAATTTGTCTAAAAAAAGTGATAATTGTAAAAATTGTAATAAGTTGGCAAATCTTTATAATTCTATTGGTAGGGAAAGGTTAGTTTTGATTGCCCTAAATGTGTAAATGGGACATTAATATATTAATAACTAAACTAGATAGGTTATAATTTTCCACAGAGTTTGATAGTTGTGCACACCAAATTTATGGGTTGTATATGAAAGAGCTTAGCTGTGTATAGCAAGTAAATAAACATTATTAAATGATGATATGTAAATTTTTATATATATGAACAACAGTTTTGGAGGAAAGATGTATGACAAAGTGGGAAAAGTTATATTTTTTTGTAGCCAATTTTATTTAAATTATTTTTCTTTTTGTTTTCATCATCTTTCTTATTAAATATTCCACACTATAATAAGAGGAAAAGATCTGCCAAGAATGGCAGAACCTGGATGCAAATTTACTGTGGATGAAATTAAAGCAATTAAAGCACTTTCTAAATATTTTTGTCTCAGTGAATTATTTTCTCTCTTAATTAGAGTAGCATTTTCTTTATGCCAAAATTGTGGCCAGTCTTGTTACAGTGAGCAACTAATGCATTTAATGTGTTTTTTTCTTAAATGTCTCTTTTGTGTTCATATAATCTTTTTATTTAAACTTGTTGAGGTTTCTCCAATATATTCTTTCTGACAATCCCTGAAACATACACACACAGTGTAAATAAAATAAGGATCACATTTGAAAAGTCAAAATAGAAAAGCAAAATGAGATAAAGAGGAATTTTTTTTTTAAATCAATAAAATTCATATTTTTCAACAGTCACTACTATTAATGCAAACTTACAATCTTTCATGACAATTTTAAATAGCATTTTGAGGCATTTCAATCGTTATCAAACCTGCCATTTTGTCAATGAAATTCTTTAAATCCTTAAGTATTTCTCATTTCCTGTTGTAAATCAATTTCTTAAAATAGCCCCCATCAAAAAAGAGAGAAAAACAAATTAAGAAGTCTTATATGGCAGCACTTTGCAGTGGTCTCATCAGTCCTCCAAAGAGTTTAATTTGGTAATTTCTTACTCCAAAAATATGACAATATATTACTTGCACATAGGTGCACCATCCAGATAAGAAATCATTGTTTGCAAGGTCATTCTGAGGAGTTGTGTGTGTGTGTGTGTCTGGTAGGAGGGAGGAGTAATAACCTGTTATGGCTTTCTGCAACAAATTTTTACACTTACTGACCTATCTCTCTCCTTCCCATCTCTCTAATAATAATATGTGAACTCGCCCGCTCTCTTTTGATATGTAATAGCAGTCAGTGAATGTAAAACCAGTTAGGCCAAACTAACAACCACAGCAACAGATGGGAGCCAAAGCTAAAAATAGATTTTCATACATGGGAGAAATCACGTGACCAGATACGAATGATCAAGCGGGAAAGATCAACAGAACTCAGCTGGGTGATGCATCTAAGGAAATGGAATGTATATTAAATTCTCATATGAATTGATTTTCTGAATTGAAGAGAAGAAATGACGACCCCAACTCACATGAAACTCCAATACAGAATTAAACAGAGACAAGTCTTGCGTGGACAATTCCTCTTTCACTTGTTACAGTCAAGCAAGAGAGATCACTAAACAAGTGGCAAACTCCAATTTAACTTAACACTATGCAGCTTACATTAAAGACCTAAGTGAAAGGTGAAACGGGATTGTCAACTAAGAAATTTATATGTGATATGCTTAATTGGACGAGGGATCTGAAACATGAATTCTGCACAGCTAAACCTATGACATACACAACATCAAATTTTTATAACCAAATGTATGGATTTCTGCAATGCTGAAACTAAATGACTGGATAATGAATGCAACGTTGCAGTAAGAAGAATAGATCCAAGGACACCACTACTTGAGCAAACAGACTGGTTTGAAAATAGAGGGACAAAGAGAATCATAAGAGGAAGAGAGAGAGAGAAGTGCGAAATGAGAAAATCTTATTTCAGAAGACAAAATGAAGCTAAAATTTTGTTTCCACGTTTGCCCTCAAAATAATGCATGCATCTTTCCACACAGAAATGTATAGCACACATCTTTACACACATTCTCATATCTAAATGATTTTATGTATTGTCTAGTTGTAATTACATCTTGTTAATTTGTATATTAGCATTTGTCATTGGTCACTGTTGGTTATTGTTGTAAAATTGATTGTGTATTTGACCCTGCACTGAATCCTTCTACTGTGGAATGGCAAACCTGGACGGCTTTTAGACAATAACTTTTTTTAAAAAAAACAAAAAAACAAACTTTGTGCTGTGGTAATTGGCTGTAACAAACCCAACTTAGTAGTATTCATCTATAATGTCTTCTTTGAAGAAGAAGACGGGTCTGTAAATTCTTGCTGATGACAAATCCATTCTGACATTTTGGTTTGAGTGACATATCAGTTTTTTCTGTGCACAGTTCGTTGCACCACCATCAAGCCATTTTCCTTGGTTGATTTAATAAAAATAATTTTCTTTTTATCACATTTTGCTATTTTTGATTTCAAAGATGGCAGTTACTTTACACCCTCTATGGATTCAAGATTATTGCCAATGCAAATTATATAGGTTCTAAATTTAAATGATCTTTTTTAACAAGAATAATGTAAGAATTTAAAACCTGAAATTTATTATTAGCATTTGTTCCAAGGAGATCTGATGATAATTTCAATAAATTTATCAAACATCTGGCCCTGACAAGTGCTTTGATATAGATTTCTGGAATTGGTCAATGAGAATCCATTGAAGATTATTATAAAGTTTCTACAATTTTTTCCATGTGACAGAGTTTTGAGCTCTTTACAAAATGGTACAGCAGCAGAGAGTTGCTGCTAATAATTAGATAAAAATAAGAGTTTTAAGATTGATAGCCTAAAGTATTTAGTAATGAAAATAGAAACCTACTTTGAAGCCTTCCTTCATCTACCAACCTCCGTATTCCAGTATGAATTGAGGGAGATTGTGAAGCACCCTCCAATTGGCTTGGAAGAGAAACCTGTAAAAAAAAATAACAAAAAAAAAACAAACATACTTTTATCCAGAGAAAATACTAAAAATGCTACAAGCAAGAAAAATAAACTTAGACAGGTTAATTTGCATTGGCAGTGAAAAAGGAATCTAAGAGTAGAATTCAAATTCCAACAAAGTCTCTTTGCATTCACATCAAACAAACTTGGGAAAGGCATATTTTCTGCTCTATGCTAAAGATGAAACAGTAGGGCAGACCAGAGCTCTTCAGCCTTACTAGAGTAAATACTCAAGAAGTAGGATAACCAAATTCAAAACCACTGTGAAGAGAGTCAAGCTCCCTCAGGCTTTCTACTCTAGACACCCCTATTGTTATTACCCTTACTCATGAGTTATGAGATGTATGCAAGCAAATATTCATGGTGATAAGAATATTTTACACTTGCATAGAAATTTAGTCTTGGCTCTTATTTGTTAATGTAGATCAGGGTTTGTTTTAATGAGGATTAAAAAAAAATATATATATATATATATATATATATATATATATATATATATAATGTCCTCTATGAAAGATATAGCACCCTCCCACCCACTGGTCTCAGGTGAACAGAGAAAAGGCAAAAAAATTAGATTTCTTTCTAAATGATGTTACTAAAACCAGTTACTGAATTTCTTCCTAATATGTCCCCTAACAAAAAAAAGTGTGTGTGTGTGTGGGGGGGGGGGTCATAATTTAAATTTCTTTGATTTCTGTTTGAATTTCTGGGATGAGGAGATATTATTTGTTAAGTTAATTCCCCTTGGCAAAATGGCAGATTGGAAATGGTAGATCTACACAGATGATACTGCTAAGTTATTTGCATAGGAATAGTTATAAGATTGTTATTGGCCAATCATTGAGCTAGCCCCTTATATATGCCACCCAGAGAGAATCCATCCTGGAGTGAATATGGTGACCAGAGTGAAATAGGTGAATCCAGCAGGATTTTAACAGTGGTAGCAGAGTGTAGTTGCACCATGGCTTTAAAATTGAAGGTCTGTTTTTTTTTTTTGACAGCACAGAAAAAACATGTGGAAAGTGGAGATAGAGATAGGGACAGAAGACATAGAATTAGCAAAAGTTAAGATGGGAATTGTAGTAGCCTTATCACTATCAGAAAATGACTTAACAGTGTAGAGTAGAAATAGAAGGTCTCATTAGATAATGGGGGACTTCCACAGGCAGACATATTTTACCTCGTCCAGTGTTATAGAAACAACTGAGTGGCCGGGGCCAGATATACTTTTATATTTGTATCTTGTTGGTACGAGAATAAAATTAATTGAGAATTACTACTAACATTGCCATTGTGGTTATTTTACATGGCACTGCAGGCACAATCTGGTGAATATGTGGAACTCTCTTAACAAAATGACATGGCATCCAAACCAGGCAGAACCCTTGATTCAGTTGCTCAGCTCATGCAACAAATAATAGAGCTACAAAGGGAAAACTATCATGCTAAACTCCTAATACAATGCAAACATACAACACAGACAGTCCTGGCATTGAACCCAATGCAATGGGCAACAACTGGGCATTATCTTTGATGCTTGAACTTGGTATAAGAAGATATGTAAACTTACCAACCCAATCAAAATAAGCAATGAATCGAGAACAACATGCTCACCTGAAGTCAACAGGCTCCTTTTTGACCTTATAGGGGCTGAAATCTTAAATTCAGCTACAGAGGAAAGGCTTTTGTCACACATCTGATTTGTTGCATGCAATAAAGGGCTTGCACAAGGAAGTTCACTGGCAGACTTTTCATTCCACAAGTCAAACAAAGGCGAGCCAAATTTGGCTCGTTCACAGTTAATTGTCCCAATGCAGAAGGATGCAGTCAGCGAGTCAACTATTCATGCAGCATGATAGCTGGGCAGATGATTGCAGGACTCATCAACAAAGAGCACCAAGGCTGCCAACTTCACCACAATTGAGCAAAAGTTTGACCAACTTGTCAGCTTGGAAATAACAGACAATCATCCTAGTTGCTGAAGTCCCACATCATTCTACCCAGGGAGTGGGTCCTAAGACCTTGTTTACAGCTGGTTCAAGACAGCAATACAGAAAATAGATTAACCACATCTGTTGTGTGTGTGTGTGTGTGTGTGTGTGTGTGTATAAAATACATCAAATCAACTTGTTGGCAAACTGTTCAACTCAAAACAGTATAGATTTTAGAGTGGCAGGATTTTCTCAGCTCAACATGGAAGGAATTGAAGAGCACCTCCTAATGGTTATGAGGGTGAATGTGAATGACGTTGCCTGTGTACCAATGAAGCAGGTGAACTGAGCCAGTTGGGATATTAGGTACCAGTTTCTGTGCATCATCAGGTCATCAAGAAAAAGTATTGTCAATATATAATTTATAATATAAAAAGTATTTTCTAAACTCTAAACATCTTTAGTTTGATTTCACACAAAGAATAGTGAATGCACTAGAAGAGGACTTTTCTGCAAATAAAATAATTGGAAAACTTACTTCTTCACATGTAGGTATGCTTTCTTGATCTCGGATTGCATCCCAAAGTGGAGATGTATTTTTCCATGCATGGCTTTCCAAAATAGATTCTTCAATCTGTCAAAAGGAAAAAAAAGTTCACTAAAATTTGAAAAGAAAAGTTTGTTTTTTTTCTTTTTTAATTGTAAAAAAAATTGGAACCAAATACAATGATTACAAACAATCCACTCTTTGCATTCTGTAAATATAAAACAATTTTGCAAAATAAAAGGACATCAAAAAGGGCACCTGACACAGAATGAAGGTAAATGCAAATCTCACAAGCTACTGTTAGTGAATAAATTTAAGATGTCAAAATTGATTTAATCCATCAAATCACTCGGTATTTATCAATAAGTAATGATTAGCAATTTAGTTAAGTCTTCCACAAATGTAGCCTTATGCCAAATGTTAGCATATCCCAACAAATGACAAAATGATAGTGGAAAAAACCTGTCTTACATGCAAAATAAGTTTGCGTCTCAAGACTGCACAAATTTGGAATAATTTTGTGCTGGTCTAAAATAAAGTGAAATAACTCAAAAAGATGTTAATGTTTGCTATATAAAAATCTTTATTTTTAAAGGAAGACATTTTAGATACAACACTAAAAGTTGGAAACAACTCTTAAGGCAGGTCAGGTTTGAATTTTAATTATATGATTAAGTCACCCATACTTGTAAAATGCCTATCTTTTAGATAAGTATCTACATAAGAAATTAATCGTGGAAAAAATAAAATAGTAAAAATGAAAGAAAATAAGTTTCTTCTGCAACTTAAGAATTTAACAGTTACTTACAAGGTTTAAATGTTTGACGACATCTCGAGATAAACCTTCTTCTGCTCGGATAACCATCTCAATAACTCTGTAGAAGTGGTAAGGCGTCAGCTCAAAAATATCAACAATCCACGGAAAAGTTCTATTAGGGGGAAAAAAAAAGAAAAAGTAAAACCAAGCCCAATGACAGTAGAATGTAAATACCAAGCACTTCAAATACCTCAATGTCTGGATCAGTCATAAGTTTAGTATAAGAGAAAAGGAAACTGAACACAGAATAGGCTGCACTAGAGGTAGTTTCAGCCAACACTACAAATTGCTATAAAACCAAAACATTAACCTGAAAACTTGAGTCATGTTGTTAAATAACCTCATTGGATCGAGACTTTTATATGAATGTTATGCATCGTGGTAAAAACCTTTCAGAATAATCTAAACTATCAGCTGTATACAACTGCTTTCAAGATCGATGGTTAAAAATGGCTTTAAGCAAGTGAAGCCTGTGGATCTAGAAGATTATCTTTCTTCAAACATTGTGGACTGGCGTTACAGAACCACAAAGAATTGTACAAAGTAACAGAAACCACATCACTTGAGAACTACCAAGAGCAGCAACAATTAAAATGGATAGCACATGTAACTCAAATAGAAAATAATGAAAATCAGAATGTTGACAAGATGCCCACACTACTTGAAATAAAAGGTTAGGAAGGAAACTCCCATCAATACGGGGAAGAGTGATAACAGCTACTGGGCTTGAGAATAGAAAATAATGACACAATGAAGATGTTGACACTCCACGCTACTTCAAATAAAAGGTTAGGAAGGAAACTCCCATCAATACGGGAAAGAGTGATAACAGCTACTGGGCTTGAGAATAGAAAATAATGACACAATGAAGATGTTGACACTCCACGCTACTTCAAATAAAAGGTTAGGAAGGAAACTCCCATCAATATTGGAAAGAGTGATAACAGCTACTGGGCTTGAGAAACCTATTTTCCTGAAAAATTGTTTTAAGAGAAAGATTTTATAAATTTCATTCGAAAGCGGTATTGGCTTCTTGGTCAGTGAATGCCAAATGTTTCCTTATAGGGAAATGGCTAATATTACTATTAATATTAAATATAGATCAAGAATTCTCATACGCCACCAAATATGAAAGTTTGTATTTAGCATGAACAGAAAATCATTGAAAAGAATTTCTTCCAGTTTTAATGCTCAAACTTTTAAATTACTCACAATAATATCAGTTTATTAACAAATTTTTGTCCCTTTTTAGAATGTCTGCTGCAAAACTAACCACTTGCTAAACACCAATATCTGTAAGCTAAGATTTTTTTTCTTGTAAACTAGCCAGAAGATGAATGAGAATCTTTCTAACTCTGAAAATGCTATATTATTTTTCTTGAACTTGTAATTTAAAGAATCCAGCGTCAACTATGTCAATATGAGTATGTGCAACAGTGGTTACCATTGCCGAAAGTAAAATCTGAGTACAGAGTTCAAATTCTGGTTATTTGTGTTCACTTTTGCACAAATACTTTTGGGAAAAATATATAGAACTACCTCTTCTCCTCCTAGCAATTGATTAAATAACAGGGCAGACTGGGCTCTCTAGCCTTGATTGGTAACCAGTGTAGGAGAAGGACAATAATGAATTCAGAAACAGTTGGATGGGAGGCTGGAAACAGGTTGCTATAGAAACCCAACTAGTAACATCTAGGCATGGGAATGTTGTGCCTCTACAGAGTAATTTAATGGCACTCTGAAGGAGGAGAGTTAACTATAATTTTTTTGTTCACAAAAAAAAAAAAAAAAAAAAATGTTTAAAAAAATTGCATAAATACAGCAGTTTTACTTCAACCCAGATTTAAGCTACAGTTTAATGCTTTCATGCTTAGTCAAACTTCCATGAAATTTACAGATTTTGGGACATTGTGTAACAAGTGTGCCAGAACACGGGTGAAAAAAAAAAAAAAGAAGCTGCATGGACAAAGAAATTCTCATAATATACAATGTAAGATCTCTACTCCAAATATAATATGCAGTCAAATTTATTACTTTCTCACCCATGTACAAAGAGGGAGTAGCAAAAAGTTTGTTGCTCAATCCACTTTCCAAAATTTGACCAAATGATCAAACAGCAATTTTTTTTTTTTTTTTTTTTTTTTTAAGAGCTTCATAGTTGCTTGAAAATTTTCAACATCCTCACAACATATTTGTTTTATACATTTTATTTCACTGGAAACAAAGAAAAGTGTACTGAACCCTAATGTGATATATGTCCTCCTGTATGGCAGTAAATGATGAACAATCTCAAAGATGAGGAAAAGCAACAGAAATGTGGTTCTACATAAAAATGTTGAGGATACCATGGACTGAACATGTGAGCAACAAGGTTTTGGAGAGAATGGAAACAAAAAGGAAACTTATAATTAACATGAGGAAGAGGCAGTTGAAATTTCTGGGTCACATAATGAGGCAGGTGGGCTGGGAAAATCTAATACCCACAGGACAGATTGAAGGACAAATGAAAGCAGCATGTAACATACTCAATGGGCTTAAGCAAATGGATGGCAGAGCAGGGTTTGGGAGAAATAACGAAAAACAAAACTTATTAAGAGCTACAAGGGACAGGAAGCTGTGGAGAGCCATGATCGCCTATGTTCTGAAGGGGCCTGGCACATAAGAAAAAAAAAAAAAAAAAGAAAGATGATACTTACCTCTGAGAATTATAAGAAAATATAACAATTTCTAAACAGCAGGCAAAAAGTGACCTTTGGAAAATATCTTGTTCCAATACTCCCTAAAAAAAAAAAAAAAAAAAAAAAAAAAAAAAAATTGAAGTTAAAATTTGAGATATATAAAATTCCTTAAATTTGAGTGTATTATTAATGGTGGAATCAAGCTTTCTATTACAGTTAGCCCTATTTAATTTCATATTAGACTTGTCACTCTTCCTAATATATATAACTACCTACAATGTATAAGCTGTAATTGTACTAAAATCAAATTAACTATGATTTTGTTAATCAGCAATAAATGTAACTGAAAATAATTCACATTAATAAGAAATAAAATTAAAATTTATAAATAAAAAAAAATGTGTTAAGTTATAAATGACAAAGACTTTCATTAATTGTTTACAAATGTCTGTTTTACTACACATGAATCACTTCATTAGGTTGTATAGACAATTGGAAAGGTTTTTATCAATTTAATATTTAAATTTAATCATATAACAAAACACAAAGTGTGGGGGAAAAAATTGCTATTCTGAATTTTAACTTGAACATTAATCTTAACTTGTTTATAGATTTAAACAATTTTATGCCATAAAGATAACATTTTTCCAAGAAAAAAAAAAAAAAAAAAAAAGTAAAAGCTGTACATAAATAATTCACAGCAAAATCAAAATATTGGACATACAATAGTATTCATGAAATTCAAACACCAGATAAGTACATTATATATCAGAATTAAAATAAAAAATTGATACATTATCAATATTAAATATAAAAATAACTGCTTTAATAAAGAAAAGAAAAAACTGGCAGAATGGGACATTTTCAACAAATATCAGATTCGACAGTTGACTCAGCATAAATATCTTTAGTCCAATGTGCATGTAAGTAATAAAATCATTTTGAAACGCAAGCATGAACCACATATATCATCACAATTTTAAATCTTAATGGAGATATGAATTGCCATTTTGCGTTTGGAAAAGTTCTAGGAAAATAATCTTTAAGTGAGCATGAGTAAAAACACTGAACACAATAGCCTGTCACCATTTTTATATATTGCCATGTTATTCATGAGAGTTGCTCCAAAAGTAATGCTTTCAATTTTAATATTTTGGCCATCAATATCAGAGAGAGACTTTGGTGGAATTGCAGAAGAGGTTGAACCTTACAGTCAATAACCCATTTTTTTTGCTTTGTTTCAGATAGCAGCTGAGCAAAAGAGTATGCGACATGAAAGTGCATATTAAGCAGAAATGTATCAGTGAATTCCTCGATAATCCAGGCTTGTTGAATATTTTAGAGGCCGCACAGAAAATGTAAGTGAACATTAAGTTCATTGACATTAATCTAAGTGAACATTAGTGTAGTTAATGTAAGTGAACCATGTTCTAGGTGGCCCAGTACAGCCTTCAACCTACAAAATGAAAAGCACTTTAATCAACTCATTTGCACAGAGCTGAATGTCAGTTTCAATGCATTAAAAATGATTCTAGTAAATGGTGGAATATTGTAAAGTTTCTGAGAGTACCAGGGACGCTCACACATCATAAAGACCACCAAATGAAAGTTTGTCTGAATCTACTAAACCATTACAAGGTTGAAAGTGAGTTTCCAGAAGTGTATCATCACTGGTGACAAGACATCATCATTACAAGCCAGAAACAAAACAATAGTTCATGAAACGATGACGTGCAAATACCACATGTAAGAAAATGTTCAAAATGTAGTCATTAGCAAGCAAAGAGATGAGCAGTTTTTTTTGGGATAAGAGAAGAAAGCATGCTCCAGCAACCACGATCCTTATATCACAATGATGAAACTGTAGGTCCAAATTTCCAGATTGAAGCCAGAAAAGAAGACAACGTTTCACTTGTGATATGAGCATACCAAGACTTCAGTTTGAAGACTATAGTTCAATTTCTGTCTGAATTTCTGGGATAAGGAGTTATCCTTCCTTTTATTTTTTTATATTCGATTTATTGTCCTTTTCCATTGTTGTTTCATCCGTTAAAAAATGAAAGGTAAATGAATAAATTTCTTGAAAATGAAAGAAAAAAAAGCAATATGCTCAGGTTATTAATGGCCTGCTACATATATGACACTGGGATCTTCAGAGGTTGATCAAACAAAAAGCGAAAGAAAGAAAAAAGAAAGAGGAAGAAAGAGGAGAGAGAGTCTACTAACTGGATGATAATTGTTGAAATTGCAGGAAAATGTGGTAAAAAAAATATCATGTTTTTGAAATTTAGAAAAGGTTGATACTTAAGGTAGAAGACAAGTGAATCCAGCCACCAGTCAACCCCACCACTAGCAAACACATGACTTCAAATAAACTGAAGATTTGACTCAGAAACACAACAGAAAAGAGACACACAGAGACCCCACACCATTGCTACCTAAATCTGCATCATTTGCCGAGACCTCCTGACCAAGACCTTGTTTTTAGGACATTAAATAACTTCTTTTAATTTAAGTTACTAATAAAACAAGCTGCAGACTCTGAAGGGGGTCCAAGTGCCATTTGATTATAACAATAAGTAGGAAGGGTTAGAACCACTGTATACAACAAAATCATATATAAACTAAATCATTGTTACATTTTTAACCAGAGTTAGTTCATTATTCCAAGGGATTTCTTTTTTTTTTTTTTGTGTAGCTCCCAAATTGTCAAATCGTCTTCAAGTTTGCTTCATCAGTGATCTTCTCACCTGCTGAGATCAAAAACACAAGGTGTTAGAGGAGTAAATGATAATGAACAAACACCAGCTAAATTGAGTGGTACTATGCCAGCATCATGATACCAGTGACAAAATGAGTCACGCACTAACAAGTGAAGAGTCAGCTAAATGGTAACCACAGCAGTCTGAAGGAACTTGAGGATCGACGACTGGGTGACATTATTGGTTACCGCTGATAAGGATTGACTCAAGGGGTTACCGTTGACCAGGTTCACACTTGAGAGTTACAAGTAGCCCTAGCATAGAAATAAATAACATATAGGAGCCATTAGTAAATACATAAAGAGATATGACATGCATTTTTTTGATATAGCACCAAGAGAAGAGAGGTTAAAGTGAAGGAGGAGGTCAATTTGTTACATCATCAGGCAGACAGTGCCTCAATCTTACTGTTCTTCCTAAGTTCTAGAGTCAATACTGTCCTATGGGTCAAGCATTGCTTCATGAATTTAGCGGCATAGTAATTGTGAGTTCAATCTCTAAACTAGGTAATACATACTGAGTGGAAACAGAGCTAGCAGTAACTGAGCAGTACTAAATAAAAATCAGATGAGATATCCCAATACATGGACAGCAGAATGAAAATCTATTTCCTTAGAAGGGTTCAGATCAAACCTACCTGAAGTTTATCCAGATAGGCAGGCACCTAAAAAAATCTAGTGGGCACAATGACAAAAGTGCTGTGATAATAACAATGAGGACACTGATTTTTATGAGCTTGGCATACAGGTTCTGTGGAAAATGCAGAGCCATTGATGGTGACTATATGAAAATATAACATTTTGTAATTGATAACTTGCTCAATCCAACAGTGCTTATTGTGCTCCCTGTAACTGCTGTAGTTACAATGGAAATAAACAGGTGTTACTTTTGGAGCATTCTTTGTATATACACTGGTTTCAAACATTAAATCAGTCATGAACAAAATTTGGAAGTGGAGGTAAAAGTGCAAGTTTTAAAACTGACCACTTTACCTTCAATACCCTTTTTTAAAAAAAAAAAAAAAAAAAAAAAAAAAAAATCCTAAAATGTTTTTTGTCAAGCTGCAGATTTGTGCTTAAGGTAGGTACCTCCAAAAATCGCTAAAAAAAAGAGCATAGCTTGATGAAAAAAGACGCCAAACTTGCCGAAAACTAAATTTTATTGTCTAAATGCTTATGTTATTATTAAGAGGAAAGACCAAAGTTTTTTTTTTTTTTATTTTTTAAAAATTTTCCTTCTTTTTAGAACATTCTAAATTTTGATTAAAAAAACTTTTTCTATTTGTATCAGTGGAACTAGTAAATAACATAGACAATTTTTAGCACGTTTTTTTTTATGACACACATTAATTTGAAAAATCGTGCAAAAATAGAAATAATTATCGGATGTTAATGAAACTTTCAGAAACTATTCACAGATGATCGAAATTATTATAAATATGTTTTTTTTATGAAAGTCATGGTAGAAATATTTTTTTTTTTAAATATTTATTACCCCCCCATAACTAATTTTATGAAAACGCTAGAAATTGATCGCATCGGTTTTAGTGATTACAATAATTAAAAGCACAGGGCTTTGAGGAATGCAAATCATGTTTTTTTTTTTTTTTAATGGATACGCAGTACCTGAAAATCAGCTCTGAATTGTAACATACAAAACTCAATAAAACAAATATATTATTTAATTTCAAATGCTTTTATTTGCTTTTAGTTGTTTTTTATGAATATGGACAATATTTTCTGAAAGCAAAAAAATTTTTTCGATGAAAAATGAATTTTTAATACAATTATTTGTTATTTCATTAATTATAATAGATTTTACATTTAAGTTGTTAAAATATTATAAAATTAGTTAAAAGTCGCATCGGCTTTCATAAGTGTCCTTATGAGATAGATCTTTTTTTTAGCGCGTTGTAAATTGTATCATTTTGACTAATCAGAAGATACCCAGTAATTAAGAAATGTAATTTTGTGCTTATAATCGAGCTGTAATTATAAAATACGGAAGACCAACCAGAATATAATTAAGTTGCGTTATTTGAGTTAAGCATTGTTCTCCGCTGTTAAGGCCTTTACTTTTACAAACACGTGTGGAGAAGTTAATTTGATTTTTCAATTTCAACTGAGAAGGGTACCTACAAGTATCAGTATCATCTTATGAAATTTATATGATCTTATTTTTATATTAATCTCAATTACGACATTTTTCCATAAATGAAATATCAAAATTAATAATAAAATGAATGCAAATACAAATAACAGTAGAATGTAATAAATGTACATAAAATTATAGTATTTTATGTACAATTCTGATAAAATTTCATAAGAAAGGTACCTATAAATTAATTAGATACCTTTCTTAAGAAATATGAAATTTAATGTCATCTTAACAGTTTTATTTTAATTTCTTTAGAATATATTTCCCATAAAGCATCATAAACGTAAAGGTGAAAACTAAGTACAAAAAAAAAAAAAAAAAAAAATAGACCGCTGAAAGTTTTCGTTAAAAATAACGGGGTAAATAATTTGTTCACGTAAATGTAAATTATTTCACTTTTCTCCTTCCGTAGAACAAATTAGCCTCATGGAATTTGTAAATATATCATTCATCACATGTCAAGAGACGCGAAAGTTTATGACCTGCTTTGTTTTATTTTCAAATTACATCTTTTTGGCACAAAAGCTAAGTTAAGTTTGGTTCAAAATATTTTAAATAAACATTATAATTTCTGATTTTCTTAAAATAAGTTTTGAAAAAATGATAATTGATATTTAAAAAAATTTCAAAGTCAGATTTCCAGTTTTTTTTAAAATGGAAAAAAAAATGGTCAATTTTGCTGACTCAAAAAAAAAAGATTTTTTAACGAAAATTTCGGACGTGCTAGGAACGATTAAAAAATGGAAAAAATACCCCCAAAAATACTTTGACCTTTCCTCTTAATAATAACAAACATTTAGACGATAAAATTTTTGTTTTCGTCAAGTTTGGCGTCTTTTTCATCATGCTATGCTCTTTTTTAGCGATCTTGTGGAGGTACCTAGCTTAAGGCAAGACTGAAAGATCTAAACTACATTATATAACAAAATTATTTTCCTTATTAGCCTCATGAGATGGTGAATACATATTAGTGATCAGATGATGTAATTTGTTTTTGTAATATTTTCAATTAAAATTAGGCAAAATAGTTTAAAAATTTAATTGGAAGGCTTATGATCACATCATACTGAAACCCATAGAATCACCAAAGTTAAGCAATGTTGAGCCTGGTCAGTATCTAGATGGATGACCACTTGGGAATACCAGGTACTGTAAGCTTAGATGTTTGAGTGGTGTAATGGATAATGCCTCAGAATTGTTAATCGATACTCAATCTTATCAGAGTGCACAGAAAGCTAGAAAAAGACCTGTTGCATGCTCACAAGGTAAAGGAGACAAAAAAGAAACGTGTCAAGAAATGAGAACACAAACACCGTTTCCCAATATTATATATAGATGCTTTATTCAGGGCTTCACCTGGATGAATAGGCAGGTGACACTTGGGAAAAGTTCTATGTCGATCTCATTGTTTAGCTCTTTCCTCCTACTAACTCCTCACCCATCTACACATCCCAATATGTGGCTGGCAATAGAACCATGTAACCTACAAGTCTATCCCCCTTCGAGGATGAACAAGAACTGACCCTCTGATCCCAAAAATGACTTCCGGTACCCGGAAATAATCAATGACCAGTTTGCTATTGCTTGGTCTCTAAAAACCACCCATCCACTCCTTAACTTCCCTGTTTCTCTTCAGTCAAAGTGGATGTCACTTTTCTGTTTACTTCAAAAAAATCACCTGCTGGCTATAAAACAGAAAAACATTTTTGGAAAGTGGGTAATAGTCAAAGAATAACAGCCTTGATACTATCAGGCTGTTATTCTTTGACTATTACCAAGCTTTCTTTGTGATAAAAACAATTTTCAGAACATGAAAAATTAGTCAGAAGTTGACCATAATGCTATCTTTTTATTTATAAATTAAGGCATTTAATGACCCATGTTAATCTAATCTAGACAAAACAATACACATATTCTTGTACATCTTTAAATAAAAATTATTCTCACCGTTAGATCTGGCTTCTTTTCCTTGGCTTGAACCCGTTTCTTTTCATCTAGAGTAATACTTTCCAAGGTTTTGAAATACAAACTTTCAGCCAGTTGCAATCGTTTCTTGGCAAAATCAATGTGTACCCCGGGATGGTCTGACGGGTGCTGAATATGTAAGGAGAGAAAAAATAAAAATTTAAAAAGGTCCATTATACTAACTTTTGATACCAGCAAGAATTGGGAGAAATAACTTAAATCATGCCAGCACTTGTATTTGGTGCACAAGTATACACAGGGAAGATTACAATGAGAATTTGACACAAAAAGAATTAAAAATATAAGTGTTACTTGAATCAGTTACCTGAATAAAATTAGTACAAAATGTATTTCCCATTTCTTTCACTCTTTCTATTATCACATCATAAGGATTCCGGGTACATTCCCTGAAACAAAAGCCAGAAATCCAATCAGAACAACTGGAAACATTCAGGGTACATCTTTGTAATTTAAAAGAAATGGTGTGAAGCACAAATATTACTACCAAAAAAAAAAAAAAAAAAAAAAAAAAAAAAAAAAAAAAGAAAAAAAGAAGAAAAAAAAAAAAAAAAAAAAAAAAGAAAAAATGATTTTAATTTTGATGTATGTGTGTATATATATATATATATATATATATATGGAAGTCAAACTTGACTCTCCGATTCCTCAATCCAAGCCACTATCCATTACATTATATATATATATATAAAGTAAAACAAAATCACTTAGCTGATTGATGTCACCTTCAGCATCCTGACTGACTCTTCAGGGGCTATCAGCAATTAACTGCTTATATTTCTCCATTTTTCTTTTTTATGCACTTATCATTGGTATAAGATTTTTTTCACATTGTTTGGGTGCATGTTTGCCCATGTGGTCATGCAGCCGTCTGTGCATGTGTGCAGTACATCTTGATCTTTTATCCTTTTCATTCTTTTTTTTTTGTCTTCATTTTACGCTCACTCCTTAGCTTTTCCACTTTTTTCCTTTCAATTGTAGCTATTTATTTTCAGTTTTTCTCTAGGCATGTTATCACTTTAATTTTTGAGCATTCTAGTCTTTTGACCTAGGAAAGTTGTATTTCATATTTTTTTTTTTCATATATAATTGATATTAACACACACAATACTACCCCTCAAATGTATTACTCTGAATATCTTTGAATTTTACATCCAAATTAATTAATGTCCATAATTATTTGATGCATTTTAAAGTTGAAAGATTACTAATAGATTTTTCCTACCTATAATATTTTATTAAAAATAACACACACTTGAAGAATAATATTAGCTAAAATAAAGCTACAAATAGAAAAAAGCTCTACAATTTACCTGAAGAGGTCCATGAGTGTTTCACTTGGTGAAGTTTTACGCCCAGACAACAAAGCCTGCAAACGACTTACACTTTGAGTAGCAGTTGAGATGGGCGTGATATTTGGGTCCTTTTCTCTAAGGTAACGTCTACCAGTGAGAGGAGTAGAAGGAGCAAGACTATGAGTCTAAAAGAATTAAAAAAAAAAAAAAAAAAAAAAAAAGCAAAAAGGAATTACATTTCTAATTAAGATCAAATACCTTTTTTTTTTTTTTTTTTTTTTTTTGGATTTTCTCCAACTATCATAGATTTCTGATCTCATACTTTCTCAGCAACAGGTAAGATTAGCATTTATCTTGATTAAAATAGATTCTATCTGCATTGCATAGCCAATGACAGTCTCTTTTAATTACTATTTTCACTTGATTTTATTTTAACAGAAAATGCCTTCCAAAACCTAAACAAAAGTATTAACAGGAAAATTTTGTTAGAAACAAAGAAAAGAGTGTGGAATTGCTATGTAATATCAATTTTTCTATATGCTGGACAATTTGCTCACAGATGAAGTGGAGATGTGAGGCAAGAAATGCATTTCTACAGCAGGATGTTGAGAATACCATAGTTGGATCACGTGAGCAACAAGGAAGTTTTTCATGAAAATAGGAACAAAAAGGGCACTTAGAGACAGCTGAAATTTTTGGGATACAAGGGGGCTTGGAGAATTTCAAACACAGGCTATCAGAGGCTATTTGATGGATTCATTTTCTATTGCTTAACCCTTTGCAGGTTATTTAAAGCTAGAAAATGTTTTTAGATTGGAAGAATTTTTTTTTTTTAAAAAAATAAGTCTTACTAATTAAACCATAGCTGAAGTGGGGAGATGTGGATTCATACCTTTCCCAAGGGTATCTGCACATAAGTGAATATAATGAAATCAATGGGATTTGGAACTCTGCTCTCAGATTAACAATATATAGAGCCATTATCCATTACATCACCCACACAAAAAAGCTGATAGCACCTGGTATTCTCAAGTGGCTGCTCATCTAGGTACTGACCAGGTTCGATGTTGCTTAACTTCAGAGATTGTACAGGAAGTGTGTTTCAAAATGATATGGCTGTCAGCAGGACATCATAGGAAAGCAGCAAGTAACCTATTGAATAAGCTTGTGTAAATGGATGACAAAGCAGGGACAAAAAGGGATGGTAAAGAATTGAAAGTTGCTTAGAGTAAAGAATCAAACATTAGATGGGAAGTTGTAGAGAGACATGATCACCTACATCCTGAAGGTAGATATATTTTATTAATTTCTTAATTTTGATTTTGAAAAAAAAAAAAAAACCCTCCCCCAAAAACCCCAAAAAAACATAAGACTAATAAAAGATTATTTTTAACACAAGGCCAGATATTTTGCTACTTTCAATGTCAATATCTGAATAATAGCCCAAGTTTAGTTGGGATCAATTCTTCTTGCATATACAATCAAAGAGAAGAGATGCAGTAAAAGAAAATTTGTAAATACAGTAAATTCAACACCAAAATCAATTTCATCCAAATCATGCCATAAAGTAAAAGTCAAATTGAGTACAATTGAGTCTGAGATGGGGAAAATGTACTGACTCACTTTGAAAACATACACTGTCGTAACTATATAACAATAATATTAGATATAGTCATAAATAATTTTCATTTTGATTTATTAAATTTATTCTTTAAAATGTAAAGTACAATAACATTTTATTCAAGTACATATCCACCATTAATTGCAAGGATTTGTTGCCACTTGGATACTTTTTTGAGTAAAATTTCACAGGTTTTGCTGTGTAAAAGCTTTTGTTGAACTCCTGAATCTGGTTAACATTAGAGAATGCTTATCCCATCAAAGCATTTTACAGTGATCAAAAAGGACAATAATTGGTTGACAGAGTTCCAAGATATTTTCCTGTTATTCATGCAATAGCTGGCCTTGCACTGTTCTTGAGAATAACATTTTTTCTTTCATCCACTGTGTATGCTGCCATTGCAGTGCAAAAACAAAGGTATGTTAGTGCACTCCAAATTTATTCTTTAACTGTCACTTATGATTAGTAGAACATTACAATTTGTTCCCAAAAACAGAAATTACTTACAACTCAACCTAATATTTCTATATTAAATATTTATCTTTCAGCATTGATATTATTATAAATAAAATTTTAAAATTACATTTTTCATTTTTAAATTAAAAAATTAAAGAAAATAAAAATGAACAGGAAATTATGAATAAAAACTGCAAATTAAAGCAACTTATAAAACAAAATAAATGTTCAGATAAAAACAGAGCAATCATTCCATTCCACAGACATTCTTTAAAATCATACAATACAGAAATCTGAGCCCCTATCCCAAGAAATTGAGAATCACTTCCGAAATGTTTTCAATCATACCAACAGTTGTTCACAGGTTATTGACCTCCATCTTGTTACCACAACCCTGCCTATATATTCTTTAGCCTTCTTATAAAAAGGTAATGTAAAGCGTTTCCTGGCACCTGAAGAAGGACTCAACTCATGGAAACATAGGGATAACAATGAAACCTAAACAACTTTTGAAGTGATAGTAAGTTTTCTGCATTAGGTGTCCCACAGATGACGAATGGGATTTTGCAAATTTTGCAAATTTGAATGAAAAAAATAGGACATTCTTTTTCTCCCCCACTCCCACCAAAGTTCTTTTTACTGGTTGTAAAGGAACTAACCTCATCAAGATGCTGATGTAAACTCCTGCCCATAGGAATCCCATCAGAGAAATCCGATGTTACTCTGCTTGGCGTCCCAATCTCTTCCCCAGCATCATCTCCAAGAAATATTCTTTCATCAAAGTCTCCCACACTAAGCACATATTCTTCATAAGCAAGATTTATTGCTTTGCTGGAAAATAAATCATAAAGAAAAGAAAAAACTGTTTAAAAAGCAAAACAAAAAAAAAAAAAAAAAAAAAAAAAAAAAAAAAAAAACAAAATCAAAATTTTGCAAAAATAAAATAAAATTAAATGCTCTACCAATGATAGCTTTTTTTTTTTTTTTTAACAGCTTATCAGCCCTTTATAGGTCATTTAAAGCCAAAACATTTAGGATAGTAAGAATAATGCTTATTTTGCAAGCAAATACTGCATTAACAATTTTTGGGAGATAATTATTTTTCCAAGTACATGTCCTACTATTTAACCCATAGATGGAGAGAGAAGAGATGGGTTCATACCTTTCCCAAGAGTATTTGCACACAAGTGAATGTAGCAAATTCAAACTTTGCTCTCCAATTTCTCATTCCAAGTCGCTATCCATTACAGCGCCTGCACATCCAATAAATGTTATTGTGGCAATAAAAAAAATTCTATTTAACTCATAAGTCAGAAATTATCAAAATGAAATATCAAGAATGTCATAAAGCTACCTTACAATAAAAAATAAAACTTGACACTTTAACGTGCTTCTATGATCAAATGTCTTGATAATGCGAGGTCAAAAGCATTCAAAATTATAGAGCACCAAATATTGAAATAGCATTTCATATTAACACAGCTCTGATAACAGACTTATATATATATATATATATATATATATATATATATATATATAAAGTGAATGAGACTTCAAAACTGGAAAAGTACAAGAGGAATGAAATCTCTTATCACAATAGTAAACTGATATAAAGTTTCACTTTAGTTTGCCAATTTTTTCTTAAGAATCTTCAGCCTCTACAAGGCCCAGGGGCCTCTGGATTAGATAGTAGAGGATTACAGAGCAAGAGGTAAGGGGCACAATTTATTGGTATATATGGGGGGGAAGATAACAGCTAACCCTAGATTTGAATAGGTTAAGATTATAGTGTTTGAGAAAGTATCCTCTTGGGAGTCACTTGGACAAAGAGATGCTTCAAGTAAAAATTATGGAATACAAGGGAATGACAGTGGTTCACTACAATATGTAGCCGTGAAGGATAGAACTGGTGGAACTAAGGAATGTAGTACACCTGAACAATTACCATGGAAATAGCAATAAAGCAGTGAGAGTCTTGCAACATTTCGTCTGTGGAAAAGGGGGTTGTAAGATGGAAAATAGTTCATCACCCAAAAGGACATGGAGATGCTTTTGGACTATCAAGACTGGAAAGTGAGAATTGGGCAGCTCCTGCAGTAATCCATTTTTGGTCTGATCTGGCTCTTGTAAAGGTAGCAGATAGCAAGAGGAGTCAGGTACTTACTGGAGCGGTACAGGGAACTGGCCATTTTTCCAGCATCTTTAGAAATGGATTGTAAATATGAAATACATCAAAAAGGAAGAATTATGAACACTGTCAGCATAGACGTCAACACTGTATGGTGAATGTCAGTTTCACACCTTCAGCAATCAGATGACAGTATGAAACTGATAATCATTATGCAGGGTTGATTTCTATGAACAAGCTGTTTATCTATTACCTATAAATACTCTATCCACAATAATCAGCACTTTCTTCACCCTACTCGGAAATATAGCAAACTTCAAACAAATTAAATATCTAAAGAATTAATTTATTTTTAATCTGACATTTTCATTATTTCAAACATTGTTCTAGTGGATACCTCATATTTTAAATAGACGCCCCATTTTTATTCATCAAACAGTCTGTATTACATCTATTGGCCTGCACATTTGCATTCAAGAAACCTTGGAAAAGAAAATGTGTTCTCTGGCAGGGAGTGAACCTGTGACTCCTTTCATAGGGAAAACCAGTTTGATCTAGCATGCTTTACCGCTTGGCCATGAAGAACATCACAGTAAATAAGGTTCTAGTTTTTCTTTTTAAGGAAAGCATGTCCTCTTCACCCAAATTATTTTTCTCAAAAACCCATATCTGTTCAGTTTTTGCATCTTAAACATAAACAAAGCAATTTCTAAAGAATTAATGGATTTATTCTTAAACTGACATATGACTTCAAAGCAAATCAAATGATGGCTTTCCCTAAATGAAGGTGATAAGCTTCTAGCACTCTTTAAAAAAACATTAAAAAAATAAAGCACTGAAAGGAATTGATTAAACTGATCCACAATTCTTTACTTATTCTGCAATCTCATCTAGCTTTAAAATCTCAATACAGAACCAAGACAGACATTTTTACCAAGAAAAATTTGCTCTTCCTAATACAAGTATGAACAATGGCCACTTCAAATGTCACAACTTCTACTCAGACAGCCTAACAAGTAATCTGAGGTCCTATCATAAATGCAAGTGATGCTGGTTCTCATAAGTATAACAAGTAAAACCAAAATAAAATACCCTTTATTCTTGAAAGCAAACCAGTTCTAATGATGCAAGAGAAGTTTCATTTGGAGCCAACTGCAGGCAATCAAGAATAGGAAAAAAAAAAAAAAAAACTTACCTGTTGGCTTCAAAGTTTCCAACATCCAACACTGATGCTAAATTATTTTCATTCCCTTTCAAACACTGAAAAAAAGAAGTCAGAGGGGGGAAAAAAAGTTTAATTCTCACCATCCAAGAGTCAATGCATTTATAAAATATTTGCCCTCAACTAGATTGGTTTAATAGAAAGATCAACCAACAAAATGTTCTAAGCCTTCATTCTTCCATTGCTTGTGGAAGACCAATTACAAACTATTTACTTGTTACAACTAAAGAGTCTTTCAAATTATAAAATTTAGTTTAACAGGTGTGTGATGAAACATTGAATTTGACCCTTATGCTTTATTTTGGTAAATGAAATTATATTAATACATTTCAATTTGGATATTTGAACCCTTACATAATATCATCTATGTTTTTGCTAGAGTTGCCATTATAAACTGCAAGACTATACTTTAGTTTAGTAAATAAAATATAATTAAATTACAAAGAATGTCACTGATATTTTTGCAACATTGGCTTTGTTTTTCTCTATGTTATGTGACATTTGTATAACATTTTGCTTTTTTTTCAAATAAGAAAGAAATATTTCTACAAATCAAGATAAAAAATAATGCCAATATTAGATACACTGTGTGTGTAAGTGTATGATAAAATATAGTTTTAAGGTATACTATGTTTATAGGATAAAATGCTCAAAATCAGGGACCTGACACCCATTCAAATGTGCTGCAGTCTGATCACATCACAGAAAATTTGACATTGTTTGAGGTTGATCCAGTTGGCTTCCTTGAAGGTTTCCTAACCCAGGATGAGTTTTGGGTTCATCATTTTGTGCTAGAGACAATCCATACAGTGGAAACACCTCACCTGCTCCAAAGAAGGCCACACATTTCATCTGCAGGAAATGTGATGGCTTCAGGTTTTGGGATACAAAAAGCATTGTGTTTATTGTTATTGACTATCTAATAAAAAAGGCCACACCATCAATGGAGAGTACTATGCCAACTTGCCGAGTCAGTTACAAAAGGCTATCAAGAAAAATTGACGAAAGGATTTTGGCTTCATCAGGATAATGCTTAGCACATAAGTACTTTGTTTTCAATAGTTGCTATGCTTGACTATTGCTTTGAACTCGTTAATAAATTTCTATTCTTCTGATTTGACTATCATCTGTTCTCCAACATGAAAAATAACTTGGCTGGTAACCAGTATCATAGTGATGATGACATCATATCTACTGTTAATGACTTTTTGACCAAGAGGATGAAGGCTTCTTCACCAATAGGACCAAAGTACAACACCACCAATGGAAGAAGTGTGTGGACTGTAAAGGGGACTATGTTGAAAAATAAATCTCATTTGGTCACCCTATAAACTTTTTAGCTAACCTATATAAATTAATACAAATATAAAGTTCATCACTACAGTTACCTATAGCATCCATGATTCTAAGGACAAATATTTTCTATGAAAATTTCTCGGACATTCAGGCCGGTAAACGATTCATGGAAAATTGAAGTTTATAAGCAGTAAATTCGACCTTGCCAACCGAACGATCTTTTGTGGCTGAGCGGTAAGGCACGTCAGGCTATATGACATTTCCGTATAGGATACAGGTTCGAATCCTGTTGAAGGACGAATATTTTCTATGAAAATTTCTCAGACATTCAGGCCGGTAAATGTTATTTAATACTGTTTATTATAAACAGAGCATTTACTTAAATACTTGTATCTATAAAAAGAATGTTAAACATAAAAAATATATATAATATATATATATATATATATATATATATATAAAAAACACACATATTGCTGCTAATAAAACTATGCAATGGACACAACATACCACAATATGCACATATGTATCAGGTGGCAGTAAATATGGCTGTCTTTTCCTACAATATGTTATAAATAAATCTATGCTAAACAAGTAGAAAAGTATAATGACCAATGACAACAAGTGAAAAAAAAATCCTGTAATAAAAAAAAGTCATATTGCTCAGCTCAATAAAATAAATTTACATCATTAAGGACAACAGGTCCATGCTTGGCAGTAAATATTCTGATAAAATTTCTAGTCTTTGTTCATCAATATTTTGCATTGAAACTGAAACACATGTGCAGTCATTCCACAGTTTAATTAAAAGCTTACAAATGGATATGGCAATGAGAATTACTCTGAAGAGGTGAGGATGGGATTGAATAATGAAAAGTAAATTTGCAATTATTCATTTTTTTTTTTTTTCACTAGTATGCAAATCATTTCTAGTAAAACACACGGATCAAAAATAAAGAATAAAGCTTAGGTATATTTCCAATCCATGTTTCTTACTAAACATTGTGGAATGACTGAGTAGTAATAAAAAAACAATAGAAAATAACACAAAAGAAATACTAGCCAAAAATGAATTGAAAAAACATTACAGCATTAAGAAATTCAAATATGATTACAATTAATACTACTAATACTATTACTTATTGGTAGTTATAATGTTAGAAACCAATTTGCTATAAACTTACCTTTTTCTTAAACAACTGCTTTAGGTGAGGTTTCCAATGGTGCTCTTTGATAGTTTTGGATTCAACCACCAAACCATTATGCTTTTCACAAAGGATATTCATAATACATGGTGCCTCAGTGGGATGCTTCCAGTCACGGCTATGGAAGTTATCTGGAAGTCCTGAGCAAAAAATTAAAAATTAATTACAGGCCTTTTTCTTTCATTTTAGCTAACTAGAGATATCTGCTTTGAAAAACCATATTTTTTTCCCTCTAATAATATTTCCCTCTTAACAATGAAAATATTTTTTTTTTTGTGTTTGTACTATTGTTATTGCATAAAAATTAAAATTATATGAAAATTAACTAAAAACATTAAAGCATTTATGAAATTGACAATTTATTTTCTAACCATTAAACAAAAACTTAAAATACCATGGATTGAACATGTGTGCAATGAGGAAGTCTTAAAGAAAATGGAAGCTAAAGGGACACTTACACTTGAAACTAGAATGTGATAATTTTTTTTTAATAAATTTTAGATTCATCATAACAATTCAATTTGCTTAGAAATTAACAGTAATTTATATAAATTTAGCATGTAAAAAGGGACATAATGACAGCCAATAACTGAGCCCATGAACTAGGACTACAACCAAACTCACCTCTTAATATTACTGCTCATTTGAAGTAATATACAAGGTAAAGGTAATCAAACATTCAATGTTCAACATTGATAAACAAATATCAATTTCAAACCTATTTAAAGAGATTCTTTAGATAAAAAAAAAAATACATGCTGAGCAAGTTTAAAGCCTACTGGAGGCATAATTGGATGGTAGAAAATTTAACCAATGAACTAAAAAAAAAAAAAAAAAAAAATTTTAAAAAATCTAGATTAAGGGGTCTGGTGTAAAAAAAGCAAAATCCACAAAGATGAAAAGAAAGTGAAAAGCTGGTTAATTATCTGGACCTTACCAGAGAGTTGAAGAAGTTATAGAACACAACAGTTGGGCTATTAATGAAACACTGGGAGCCATTTTTGAGAAAAGAAAAATCTCTTAAAATATCAAAAGTGCTGGAGCACAGAGGAAACATACTGTCCAGTTGCTTTTTTTCATTTATAAACCAAGTCCTTTCAGGATGAGAGCAATCATGGCTCTTTACAACTTCCTTAGTGTAGAACTTATGGTTACATCTTGTAATTTCAACTGTAAAATGATGAAACTTAGTCGCCAATCTAGTACTGCATTTAAATTCATAAAGTCTAGGTACCATAGAGGAAACTTCATCAGAACAATTACCATGAGAGTGGGAGAGTGACTGAAACTGAGATGCCAGGTCAAGACCAATAATTATTATTATTTAATACTCTTCATCTTACATTCCTGCATATACACTCTTATTAACATATGTGCATTGTGACATAATGGATATCAGCTTGGAATGAGAAACTGAAGAGACATGTTCAAATTTCAGTTGAGTTTGCTGTATTCACTTATGCGCAAATCTCTCCTCCCAGCATATGGGTTGAATAGCAGCAGTCTACAGTGTTGGTTGGCAGCCTAATCTACCACAGAAAGAAATGGCAATCTATGGCGGGAAAATCTTCTGCCTAGTCAGTCAGGAATTGCCTAAGTGTTTATCACATATGGCATTTAACTGACTGAATAAGACAAAGTGTAAAAGTTTTTCAGCCACACACCTCCCTGCTTACAGTAGACACCATCTGACTGGAAAGATGGACTGAGAAAAAAAAATAAAATAAAATAATAAGAGTAAGAGTCAGTAAAAATCCTTATCAGGTGTCATCAGAAAAGAAGGTGTGGTGATTCTCACTCTGAGGTCATTCATGTCTGCTGAAATTACATTATTTCCAGCAATATTTTTTCATTTAAATCTTAATTGCTTCTTCATTTTCTTAATAAATTTGTCTTTTTCTGACTGAATTCATATTTTCTCCAATGTTATGGGCAGTTCTCTTACAATACATTATTAATTTCATTTTCGACCCTTATTGCCACAATTACTGTGTGCTCAAGTGGTTTGCAAAATTTTGGTATTAGTCTAGATAATCTGTCCGCAGGTCTTCATTTTTTGGATGCTAGAAACTCCATTTTATAATTATAATTCAATAGGATAGTCCCCCAGTGCTATTTGCTGTATATGTAGGAACACCCATTTTTGATCCATATATGGACAATAATGGATGATGGTCTGTCTGTAGTATGAATTCTCTACCATGTATGAATTTATGAAACTTTTTCATAGCAAATATGATGGCCAATGCTTCCTTTTCTATCTGGCTGGTTGTAGCTTTTTTTTTCAGCTGTAATTAATGATCTTGAAGCATGAGCTATTGGTTTAGTTGTTCCGTTCTCATATTTGTGTAGTATCACTGCTCCAATACCCAAATCACTTGCATCTGATGCAACCACAATCTTTAATTTAGGGTCAAAATGAGCTAGTGACAAATCCAATGTTAAGACTTTCTTCATCTCTTCAAAAGCGCTTTGACATTTATCTGACCAATTCCATTTTTACATCTTTCTTTAGCAGGTTATTCAAGGGTGCTCTTAATTCATGCATATATATGATAGTAATTAGCAAACCCTAAAAATGCTTGTAACTTGGAGCTGGCACGTCTTTTATTGTGTTTGCTTTTGAAGGATCCGGTCGTCTACAGTTTTCAGCGATAATTTGTCCTAGGTATTTAAGTCTGGACATAAACAATTTGCATTTTCCTTCACGAATCTTAAAACCATATTTCTTTAATTCTCTTAAAAACTTCTTTTACATCTTCCATATGTTGCTTTTGGGTCTTACTGTTAAGAAGTACATCATCTAAATATGCTGGAACAGAATCCAAAACGGCAAGCATCATTTCCATAATCTATTGGAATATGTTTGGTACTACTTTTATACCGAAAGGAAGTCAGTTAAATTTGTATAATTCTCTATGAGTGCTAACTGTTAAAAGTTTTGAGAACTCTCTGTCTACTAGTACTTGTAAGTAAGCGTCTGACAGGTCCAATTTAGAAAAAAAATTTACCACCATTTAATTTGGCAAAAATTTCTACTGGACTTGGTAATGGGTAGTTGTTTTAGACTTTCATTTAACCCTGTTGAAAAATCAGTACACATGCAGGATTTTATCAATTCTTTTTTTAACATAAACTGTTGGCGATGCCCATTTTTCTAGTCTGTCTAATTCCTTATTAATTGGTTCTAAGGCTGCAAAAGGTACACTCCTTTTTGGCTTAAATGTTCGTGTTACATTCTCTTTTAATTCAAATTTAGCTTTAGTTTTTGTGCATGTCCCTAGACATTCTGAGAAAACTTCCAGAAAACTCTTTCAATACATTCTTTAATTTTTCAATTGCCATAGCACCAGATGCAACAATATTTATTTTGTTGCAAAAAGAGTTAGTTGGAAGGTCCCAAAGATCAAATAATGCAATCCAGTCTGTTCCAAATAAATTAGCAGTATTCTTTAATACAAACACCATTTTTCTCCATGTCTGCTCATTTACGATAGTGATATCAGATCCTGTATCCAGTTGTAATTTTATTTTTACACCATTAATTTCCACAAAAACAAAATTTTAAGATGTTTCTAAGTTAAAAACCCATTCAAAATCTTGTTAATTTTCCTTTTACGCTTCCTATCTTTACTCCATGTATTTATCATGTTCAACAGGTTCTATTTTTCCTCCATTTCTTATATCCGCAACAAGTATTTTTGTGCTCTACCTTCCCACATTCATAGCATTTTTTGTTCTTGATAAAAAATTACTTTTGAAATGCTTACCTCCACAACCGTGGCAAGTATTAGCTATTGAGGGAGGTTTATAGTCTTTTTTTACTGTTCTGTTAGGAGTTGAAAATATCTACAGTCTTTTCTCTTAGATGGTCGTATGCTATGTACTTGTAAAATGTCTTTTTCCTCAATCCTTGCAGTATCATGTTCTAGATTTACAATACATTGATACTCTTCCAATATTTTCTGGAGAATTAATTTGGAATCCATTTCTAATTTAGCAAGTATCCTAGATCTTATCTCTGCATCCTTATTAGAAGTTAAACCCTGTATAAATATCAGGCATTTAAATAAATCCAGAGTTAATTCATTCAACTCGAACTTCTCACATTCTTGATTCACGACTCCTGCATAAGTGACAAAATCTTCATTGTCGCACTTTACTAAGTGAAGACATTGCCATCGTGTATTAAATAATGAGATCCTAACACCAAAAATTTTTGATAGTATTACAACAATTTCATCAAAATTTATCTCGCCAGTAATTTTTTGGCAAAATATAATTCACATATTTTTCATGACAATTTCCTTAATAATAAACAAATTTTCATCATTCCAATGCGAACAATCCCTTTTGAAGATCCCTTTGTATCTTCTATAATAAGCTGGAAAGTCATTGCATAATCTGGATTGTATACAAATTTGCTAACCGAATTAGCAACAGTATCTGGAGTGAATGAATCTGAAATCTTTTCTTCTGTAGTTTTAGTAAATAATTAAAAAAACTTCTGTTGTTGTTGTAATTTCTGTTCATGTTGTTGTTGTTGTTTTTGCTGCTGCAACTGTTGTTCATGTTGCTTTTGTAATGCCAACATTTGAATCATGATAGCTTTTAGTTCTTCCATTTTACTGTACTCCTCTGAATATTTTGTAGATTAATTTTTGAATAACTTTGCATGGTTATTTCTCTGTAGTCCTGCAAATATGACCTCTCTTTGGTGAAGTGGTAAATATTACTGAATATCCTATTATGACATGTAGAATACGTATATTTTATTTTTTCCTCTAAGGTCAACAAATACTCATCAGCACTTTTGTAAGGCCAATTTGTAGGAGAGACTTTGTAAATCACAGATACAATAATAGTAACACCTTCAAACAATATTCAGTCAGACACTGCTACTTTCCATATATATGTTTTTCCTTTACCTGTCACATGATCTAATTATTTCAAGATGAGGTCAACTGTGCTTGCTCTCTGGCGATCCATGTTCAAACTCGAGAGTTGGCAATGACACTTTATTCCTATATGACACACTCAGAGAGAAAAAGACTGAAAAGATACATGGGGATATAAAAAGATAAGAATGAAGACATCCTCCTATCTTTCACTTTCTCTGACCAAATTTAATTGTTTTATT